GTTGGAGATTGTGTATAATGTTTGCATTATACAGCTTTCAATACATTTTTACCAAAGAAGCCCATAGGGTACAGATGGCATGCCCAGAGCGTTTGGGTCCCTCTAAAACTTTTTAACAGTGGTTTTCTCAAGAAACGAGTTAATTTTCTCATTATGTAAAGATAATGAAAGCCATTTTCTCATGATAACAAAATGATAATTTTCTTATTAGAAAGCTTTTTTCTCATGATATAACGAGATGAGTGGTGTGTGTTAAAACTGATTACATCCACAACAGCGGAAGAGGATTTATAAATCATGGCAGCCTATGTGTAATCTTGTAAATAATCCCCTGTTTAACTATATATCTAAAATAACATTCTTCCTATCAAAAAATAGATTCTGTTGAGGATGAACTCTAATTTCAGATTTCAATAATATGGTTACTGCTAGTCATAATTACTATTTCAGATATCAAAAATGAATATAATATTCTAGAAATCCAGAAATAAAATTCTTGACAACTAAAATAAATTTCGCCAGTAAAAATATAATTAACAACTATTGATATATGAATAGTTCAATTTAAATTTCAGATATCTAAATTTTAATGATGCCTATCCAAAATGCAGTTTTAGATACTTAAAAACAATTTTCTTTTCGAAAATTAAAAAAAGAAATGAGGCTCAATTTTAACATAAAATAGGCAGGCTGACTAGTCACATTTCTATCATAGATAGCAATAAAGCTCTACCTAGTCACAAATACAATCCTCCTAGTCAGAAGTGTATTTTAGATATCCCTAATTACATTTCTACCAGTAGAAATTAAACTTTAAGTACCTTGGAATCAAATTTGTATAAGTATGAACTACATCTCAGATACATACAAATCTTTACTTATTTTAACAGGCTTCTTTTGAAATATATTTACTTGACCATATATGTATTTCAGTTATCTTTAAAAGTATTAATTTATATATGAAATGCAATTCTCACTAGTAAAAATGATGTCACTTTTGCTCATTCATGTGTATTTACATATTAATAAAAATTAGGACCTGTAACAATTGTATTACGGAGATCTGAAATTCATTTTTAGACATCCAGAATGTTGGAAAAGCTGTTTCAATCTAACTTGGGATATGCAGATTTTCCCAAACAATTTAATCTGAAACTCTAATCCTATATTCAGAAAATCACAAGTATTTTCCCAGTTGTTTTTTATACATTCTTTTATACACACATATTTCTGTTTCTATCTCACTATATATACTGTTTGTATCTTTTATTTGAGCTTGGTTTGTGCTGTAGGTGCCACTTCCTGCACTCTCATGGTGGTAAATATGCGCAATCAAAATGCAATCCAAACTACCTGCAAGAAAGAAAAAAGACAAATGGTTCCTCTACAGTTCAGATTAGAGTTGTTTTCATGTGAGGAAACTCTGTGATGACATCTTGTGCAACAATAGATCAGTGGAAATGAGACCCATGCTGAATATTGGGGGGGTTAAGGAATAAAGTCAGGCGAGGCTGGATCGCTGCAAAGCTCTCAGGGCACACGTTGTTCTCCTCCATTTAAGGGGAGTGATGTGATGAAGGTAGACACTTTGTTGCACTTGAAGGACAGAAACAGAGTTTGGAGGAAGGAGAAATGGGGTGGGTTCTGTGTACGGTAAATCTGTATGATATGAACATTGAAACTAAATATGAGGCCAAAGACCCTTTCACTCTGCCGGATCTGCAGTAAAAAATATATATCCCCAGTGAGGTGAAACCCATTATCCACTATAACAACCCAAAAAGCTCTAGGCTCGCTTTCCAGACGCTACCTTCTATTTTCAACAGCGAATCAGGTGCACTATTACGCTCCTGCACACACAAATATAAAAAAATATGTTCTTTCAATCAGAAAGAGAGGACAAACAAGGTCATTCACTGAAGTTCAGATTATGTGCACACAGGAATATCAGGACATTTGTTGAGAATAAGTTGTTTTGCTCTGCTGGCAGGAGTTAGATGAGCTGGAAACAGCATCTTTGAGGAGAACTCCCCAAAATCTTTATTCTGTAACCTACTCTAGAACTAAAAGTTATTTCGTAACATCCTTTCAGTCTAAGAGAATATCAAAAGAAGGGTCATTTTTTTAATCTGTGGTTATATAGTCTCCTCATGGAGTGTGCCAGCTTAAGCTCATATGAAGACAGATGTCATAAAGTTTTTCTTCCCTCCCGCAGCTAAAACCGATAATCCCCTCCACTGTTTTGTCCTTTGTTGTTTTTTTCTCTCAGGTACTGGCCAAAGGGCAACGCTTTTAATCATATCCAAACAACTGGGATATTAGAGAGTGTGCTGGTTTTGCTTTTGTTTATTTCTGCTTCTTTGGCAATAAGTGTTTCAGATCACTGCAATCCTCTGAGCGGTAAAAGAGAATGAAGAGGTGCCTGGTGATGAGCGTGTGCCCTGCTCTCATTATCTCTGTGCCAAGCAGATCATCACTTCAACCAGTTTGTTTGTTTCTCACATTTCTATTCAGCCAAGAAATTAGTAAGGTGCTGCTATAATAATACAAAGCTTTTGTGGGGGCATATGGATGTGATATGACAAACTGTGTGTTTGAAACGTGTGCAAGTTTGTTTCCTGCAGAGCTTCTTCTACAGCTAAATAGACGAAGCAAGCTGGTTGGAATTTAATAAAACTGGTAAAGATTGTTTTAATCACAAATTATATTTTTAGAACCTATTAACTTTTATTGGTATTCAATACATTAGGGGATTTCAAGAGCTTGCATGCTTACACCATAAACTAAACATAGGTGAAAAAGTATTAGATTTTTCTCAGATTGGATGAATTTGTCTGAGAGTTGTAGTATAAAAATGTCTGTGAAAACTGATATAACCTTTCTAATGGATAGTATTCCTCTTGGAAGATATGAGTTTTAATTTAATTTTGTATTAGCATTTTTGAAAAAGTTAAATTAACATTTCATATAATGTTCTCCATAAAATAAAGAGCAATTTATAACACTAAATTACTTAAAATAAAAAAAAAACAACAGAAATCAACTTTGTTTTATTAATAATCAAAATGCATATTAACAAAAAATGTGTTTTCTAGCAGAGGAAAGCATAGGACACCCTATTATATCACCCTAACAAAGTGTTACAGTCTTTGGCTGAACTGACTTCAGTGAGGTGCTTCTTAAAGCCACCAATCAGCCTTTAACTTTAGCCTGAGCAAAGTTTGCCCTACTTTTCTCTTTCAGCTGTCAGATGTTTGAGGAGTTCCCTGCATCTACAGTCTGTTTCAAGACACCCACCCAGTATCTCAAGGAAAAAAATCAGAGCTTTGACAAGGACTATGCCACATAAACAGAGGGGGAAAAAAATCTCTTTTGTAGGTCTAATGGTTTCATTTTAACAGGGTGGAGACATCTTTTCAGCATCTTGCAGTCTTTTTTAGTCTGAAGTTGCTTATATGACCTATTTATACCCTCATACCTTCAGTCTTGATAGATCAGACAGAGACAGACAGACAGACAGACAGACAGACAGACAGACAGACAGACAGACAGACAGACAGACAGACAGACAGACAGACAGACAGACATTGCAAATAGAATTAAGTCCAGATTCCCTTTTTGATCTAAGCAATTCACACCATTTCCCTCCAATGCCATGTAATTATGGAGAGAGATTAAGATCAGATTATGCTGTTGAGTATATTTCAAAAATAAAATTGTAAAACTTAATTCAGTTTAAGAACTTATATCAATCTAAATGAGCCCAGCTGACCTTCACCTTGCATTTTACTGTAAGGTCATTGTGAAGTTCTGCAGAAGCCTTTTAGTTATAATTTCATTACATCAGGTATGGTGAACCAGAGAGGATGGACTCACTTTTAGACAAAAACACGAATATACTATGAGACTAAAAAACATGGGAGAGAATGGAGTAAAGAAACAGTAGCACTATGTGGACAAAATAATGTGTCACAGGTGGGCAGAATCAAGCTAATTGCATAGAGGCAAAGCTTCCTGGATGGGAAGCGAAACATCTTCAAAATTGGAAACAAAGTCCAGTGGATTGTTTTTAATTTCCTTTTTTTTTTTTGGAAATACTATGACCTGGATGACTGAGAATCATCACCAGGACATACATACAATGCTTGAGGCTGGAGGACCAACTAGAGCACAGTAGAAATATGATGTCACATACTGGAACATAACCTTAAGAAAAAAGACTTAAAAGAAGGAGTCAAAATACACACTAAGAAAAACTGAACTCAAAAACTTTGGGATTATGACGGGTTTTCTTCAACAGAACAATGAGTCTAGGCAAGAAAAAAAAAATCAAACCAGTAAAGCTGATGTGGTTCACAGCTGAAGCATGAGATGACAACACCTGATTCAAAATGTCCTTATTAGATTTTTCATGCAAGCCTGCATCTTGACCATATGTCATAAAACATATGGCTCTGGCGCACAAAGAAAAAACCTGAGCCCCCATAAAGAGGTTTCTGTTGTTAAGATGGTTCATTCCTCAATTAACCTTCCAGTTTTGTTGGCTTTATATCAAGCTTAGAGGCTGCAGCTTAAGAAAGCACTCATTCTACAAGTAAAACTTTCTATGAATAAATCCTGTTTTAAATAGTGGGGGGGGAAGGATATAGAAGTCTAAAAAATGCATGCACATCTGTTAAAATAACTAGGAGAGGTTTTGATTTTATGTGCATTTTTTAACTTGTTTGAAGGTTTCATCTTTATAATACGTTTTGGAAAACTGTAAATGAATTTTAACCATGTTTGTAATGTCTTATACAAGGGTAATATGTATGCACCAAATAAGACAGAGACACGTTATCTTAGAATGCTTAGAATGAGAGCATAACCTGCATGTAAATAGGACATTATTTATCCTATATAGATAAGAATAACAGCTTAGAAGAACACAAAGTTGCTTTCAAATAGTCTGATCTATAAAAAAAAAAAAAATAATAAAAAAAATCTGCAATTAAACTCACCGTTCGAGTGAGACACAGAAAAAGAAAGATCCCTGTGGTGTGGAGATGGAGCATCCTGTCGGCTCCCTCTGTCACTGCGCTTTCCTGAAAGCCGCTCCAGCAGGATGGGATGCTGAGCTGAGCTGAGCTGCGCTCCCTTCAGGTGAAATTTGGGTTATTTTCAAAATAAAAGCAGCAAGCACAAAGCTCGAGGCGTTATGTAGACGGATGACTAATTTAACACCCTGTCAGCTTTAAAACGCCTTTATTTCTGCCTTAGTGTTATGTAACCAGCATTGGATCATATGTTAATCACTATAAACATAATGCAGTATTTTATTTTGAAGTATGTCATACCTAGCCACGTTGTGTCTCCAGACTCCCATTACAATACAACTTTCCAAGTTCTATACATTCTATACACAGATTTCAATTTTTTTAACCATTCAAATAGAGTATTAGTGGAATGAATTAGATACTTTTTGTTTCTGTTTATTCCGTTTTAAAACTGAAAAGTGTGGCATGCATTTGTTCAGCACCTTGGGTGAATAGCAGAACCACATTTTATTGCCATTACAGGGAGGGGAGCTAGAAGGGGGCATTTATTACATTGTTTATTACACACACACTAATCTAACATGTATATATAACTGACCTTTATAAACTTCAGTTGCAAATTATTGAAAAGTTTTGTTTTTTTCCCCACAGTCTGTGGACTGCATCTATTTAGTTGAATGACCAGGAGCTGCAATGCTGGAAGGATAACCTCCACCTCAGTGTGGTTTTCTTCCCCATCGCTTGGCATTTAGTTCCATTAATTATTTCAAACATGTTGGGTGCCCTTACTAGCTACACTTCTTTGCATAACTATGAGCCAAGTGACTGATAACATTACCAGACAGTATGCTACAACACATTAAAATATCAGAATGCAATATTAATCAGAAAGATTGATCATAAACCTAATCTTTGTTGAATGTTTCCTTCTAACTATATTTAATTGATCACATATTTTTAATGAAAAAATGTAAAAGGTTAAAAAGAATGTGATCGGTTTTCTTTTTTTTAATCAGAATAAACTCGAGGCCTATCATTTAGCCCTCCAGAGCTAAAAAAGGTATATCATAACTTAGATTTAGACAAACTTTGTTTTGTATACACAGAGTTCATATAAAACGAAATTTCAATGCATACAGCTTTTTGACTGTGAATGAGTGGCTTAAAACAGTGATATGAACATTTCCATTATGGTGCAAAATGTTGTAGAAACATTGAGTTGAATTCTATTTAAAGGGATTTGGGAAAAAAAAGATCCATGTAGTGCAATTATGTTTACAGTGTCTTGATTTGTGTCTGGATTAGTTTCAACAGTTCAACAGTCTAATAGCAGCGAAGAAGAAAACTGTTGCAAAATCTGCTGGACCTGCACTGGATGCCGCCATGATGGGGGTTTAAGGGGTCCTTGATGAAGTTACAGTCTTGTAACACACAGTATCATGTCATAAAGTACTTTTTTTGAAGTGTGCAAAGTGGCAAAACCTAATAAATCAATAGGAGTCAATTTATAATACCAAAGGAGCTAATGAGAAAGAAATGAAGTCAAAAATGTAATTTTTACAGCTGCTACCACCAGCCATTTGATGATGCTGAAGTGGACAAATAGGAAAAGGATGTTATGAATTTTAAAGCCACTTACAGTAGATCATCAAATCATTTAAAATGTAAAGATCATACAGGTGCTGATCAGCAGTGATGTACTGTACACCTTTTGTAAAAAGTTCTGGCACCTAAAATTTGAAGGTTTGGAGTTTCATAATCTTTAACTCTGAAAGATTTAATGCTTGGGTTATAGCTTTATATTCTTTTTTTTTTTTTTTAGCTTTTCCCCACTTTTCCTCCTAAGCTCCATTATGTTCCTTGGTTTTGATATAATTTGCTCTATAACCTTTAAAGAACAGTTTTTTTCCCGATATTACATGTATGCCCATATATGGCCATAATGGGTTGCCTCTGGAAGCACTTGGCTGCACTGAATTTTATTCAGAGGCATCTTATAAAATCCTAATTATGTGACACCCATAAACTTCTTCTGTTCATTAGTGTAAAGGGGAAAAAAAGGTCCACCAGTAGGAATTGCTTGAAAATAGTATATTTTTAAATAGCTTTTTTACTTCATTATTTGGCAAAAACATTTACATATCAAAACAGATGGATCCCCATTCCATCCCAGAGATACCATAATTATTTAATTATTAAAGGCACAGGACACTAATCATTTGCACATTTTATTTCTTTAATGGCTGTTTTCCCATCTTTTAATGGCTGTAACAATGATTTAAGCAGCATTCATTTCTTTAAAAACTGCCTCACAAAAAAATAGAAAAATTAATCTGTGCAAGTTAACAAGGAAGAAAACATCTGAAGACATTTAACATTTGTGACAATTAAAAAAAGCCCTTCAGGAAAATATTGAGGCTTTGCATAGAATTTGCACCAGTTAACCAACAAAAAACAGCCCTTTATAAACTTGGTTGGTGTATAAAAATGATTGTTTTCTTTAGAGGCTTACTCAAACAAATCATTAAATTGTTAGGATGGGGAAAAAAAAAACCTGACAAAAACGGAGAAATTTAAAACAACAAGCAACTAAAACAATTAATTTGATGAGGTAAATATATAAAGTGTATACAAAATGAAAGTTTTCACAGAGTGGCAGTAGTTAATATCAAGCGCCACAATTTAAAAACATTAAAAACTCAAAACTCTGGCAGTGCGAATGAAAAAGGCACTTAGGAGGTACAGGAGCTTTTTAGCTGACGATCCTATTCAATTTACTTTAATGACCCATAAAATCAGTTTTGGAAGTATAACCATTTATGAGGCCCTATAAACTGGATAGACACAGCTGTTTAAAATGGCTTTGCATAGAAAAAGATATCCTTTTTTTTTTAATCAATGGAGCCAGGACATGAAAACACCATAGATTTCCGAAAAAAAAAAAAAAAAACATCCTTAAAAGACTGCTAGCCTTGCTTTTTCCAAATTCCCATCCCTCTCTTCCTACAATAATGGAGTGCAAATATAACATCCAAACTATCAATTACATGTGCTTTTTTGTGCAATTTGATTGAAAATGTTAATAAATCCTAAAAAAAAAAAAAAAAAAAAAAAAACATTTACTGCAAAACAATGTGTTAAAAACCGTGCCTTTCTTTAGACTGTTCTTTACATTTCTAGTGTTGGAAATATGAAAAGACCACTGCAACTAAACAGAAAACAAAATACAGCAACGAAAAACTAAACTATATACATTACTTGGTGATTACAATGAAAACCAACACATGCTAAATTAGATATAAAGATTTCCTTCAACCTTATATTGCCCCTTCACTTACTAACCACACCTTTAAAACTTAAACTGAAAAACAATTAAGTGATTAAAATTTAAGAAAATACTTGGTTTAAAATATAAAAAGAAACCCAATAAAGTCACTGCATTGATATCTTGTCAGTTTCCCTCTAGCCGTCGCAGAGCACTCAGTACCACAAAGCTTCAAGGTCCATCACTTCCATCGTAGATTACAGGCTTCTCCATGGTCAAGTGGTAAAACACTTTCTTGGAGATAAACCTGTTTAAAAACACAGTTTCTTAATTAGTTTCTGAGGAACAAAACAAATGAATTTAAAGTCTAAATGTCAATAGAGGTTGTTGATGTTTTTATTGCGGTATTCCAGCCTCATGATGGAAAAAGTGTAGGTACATTCAACCACTAAAAACATAAATACATTTTTTTGGCATATCACAAACTATGAGAATGTGATAACTCTTGTCGCACTGCAAGATGGAAGACGCTAATATGCATGACTGATGATGCAGCACACGTGCCTCACATTTCTAGCTGACATCAGCCCATCCATATATAAACATTGATGTAAATGGACTTATGAATAAGAGAGTTGTCAAACGAGGGACAGGTTTGAAAAGAAAAAGGTGACAGCAGCAGAAAGAGGGAAGGAATGAGACATTGGCTGCATCCACATACTGCAAGGTTTCACCTGAAATATATCAAACACTGCTTGCAGTTGGTGTATCTGTCTCACTGTTAGATCACCATTCAAACTCACAGCCATTTATCATCCCTCTCTGTGAAAGATAATATCCACAATGGAAGACAGTCGCACTGTGAGAATGCGGCTTTAAAGAGAATTTTTAGTAACTAATGTTCCAGTGGGTTCTGGAATAAAAAATTATTTAAAAAGTCATGATATTCTTAAACTTCCAGAAGCCTCTTTTGTTCAACCTTGTCAAATATAGGAAGGACTAACTGCCATCCCTCACAGCATAAAAAGATTTGTATAAATATACTCAAAATAAAGGCTGTAATTTCCTAAATTACTGTAAGATTAAATTCTGAATTTATGTTTAAGTTATAGTGGAAGATGTTTTTTTTCCAGGTGGATCATCAAAATAAATGGTCTGCCCAATTGTCAATCATTCTGGTGATATGTTTAGGTAAGGCCGTCCTACGTGCTCGTCCCATTTTTACTTACCGGTGTTGAGTCTGACATGGTGAAAATTTTTTTAAATCTTCTTTTGGAAAGTAAGCTTGTATGATCGATGCAAACAGCTACTTTTAAACAGAGCGTGCAAGAGGAGAAATGGGCTTGTGCACGCTCTCGCAGGTTTTTAATAGGCATTTCCTCTTGCGAGCAGGTAGAGGGTTGCCATTGTGCTTTTTCTTTTTTTTCTTTTCTTTTTTTTTTTTTAAGTGGTTTGGGCGGGTTATTAGACAGCATGGGATTAATTTCCACTGTTATGCTGATGATACTCAGCTATGTCTGTCTATTAATCCAGATGAAGCTAACCCATTACATAGATTACAGGCAGGTCTGGAAGCCTTAAAAACCTGGATGACTCTTAACTTTCTGCTCCTGAACAGACAAAACAGAAGTTATAGTCTTCAGATTAAATTGATCTTGGATAATAAAGTAAAAAATCTTGCAGTAATTTTTGTTCAGGATCTGTCATTTAGATCCCATATCAAAGATGTTTCTAGAATTTCCTTCTGTCATCTTTGGAATTTTACAAAAATTAGAAATATCCGATCCAGGAGTGATGCTTAGAAACTAGTCCATGCATTTGTTACTTCATGGCTGGGCTATTGTAATTCCTTGCTATCAGGAAGTGTAGTTAAAAGTATTCAGCTGATCCAAAATGCTACAGCCAGAGTTCTGATGAAAATTATAAGAGATCATATCTCTCCTTTCCTGGCTTCTCTTCATAGGATTTATGTTAAATCTAGAATAGAATATAAAATCCCCCACCCCCCACATAAATCCTTAAATCGCAAAGCTCCATCTTATATCAGAGATACACTATATTGCCAAAAGTATTTGCTCACCTGCCTTGACTCACATATGAGCTTAAGTGACATCCCGTTCCTAATCCATAGGGTTCAATATGACGTCGGTCCACCCTTTGCAGCTAGAACAGCTTCAACTCTTCTGGGAAGGCTGTCCACAAGGTTTAGGAGTGTGTTTATGGGAATTTTTGACCATTCTTCCAGAAGCGCATTTGTGAGGTCGCACACTGATGTTGGACGAGAAGGCCTGGCTCTCAGTCTCCGCTCTAATTCATCCCAAAGGTGTTCTATCGGGTTGAGGTCAGGACTCTGTGCAGGCCAGTCAAGTTCATCCACACCAGACTCTGTCATCCATGTCTTTATGGACCTTGCTTTGTGCACTGGTGCACAGTCATGTTGGAAGAGGAAGGGGCCAGCTCCAAACTGTTCCCACAAAGTTGGGAGCATGGAATTGTCCAAAATGTCTTGGTATGCTGAAGCATTCAGAGTTCCTTTCACTGGAACTAAGGGGCCAAGCCCAGCTCCTGAAAAACAACCCCACACCATAATCCCCCCTCCACCAAACTTTACACTTGGCACAATGCAGTCAGACAAGTACCGTTCTCCTGGCAACCGCCAAACCCAGACCCGTCCATCAGATTGCCAGATGGAGAAGCGCGATTCGTCACTCCAGAGAACGCGTCTCCACTGCTCTAGAGTCCAGTGGCGGCGTGCTTTACACCACCGCATCCGACGCTTTGCATTGCACTTGGTGATGTATGGCTTGGATGCAGCTGCTCGACCATGGAAACCCATTCCATGAAGCTCTCTGCGCACTGTTCTTGAGCTAATCTGAAGGCCACATGAAGTTTGGAGGTCTGTAGTGATTGACTCTGCAGAAAGTTGGCGACCTCTTCGCACTATGCGCGTCAGCATCCGCTGACCCCGCTCCGTCAGTTTACGTGGCCTACCACTTCGTGGCTGAGTTGCTGTCGTTCCCAAACACTTCCATTTTCTTATAATACAGCTGACAGTTGACTGTGGAATATTTAGGAGCGAGGAAATTTCACGACTGGATTTGTTGCACAGGTGGCATCCTATCACAGTTCCACGCTGGAATTCACTGAGCTCCTGAGAGCGACCCATTCTTTCACAAATGTTTGTAAAAACAGTCTGCATGCCTAGGTGTTGGAATTTATACACCTGTGGCCATGGAAGTGATTGGAACACCTGATTCCAATAATTTGGATGGGTGAGCAAATACTTTTGGCAATATAGTGTATGATTGTTCCTTATGTTCCAAACAGAGCACTTCGCTCTCAGTCTGCAGGTTTACTAGTGGTTCCTAGAATTTCTAAAAGTAGAATGGGAGGCAGATCTTTTAGTTATCAGGCTCCTCTCCTGTTGAACAAACTACCAGTTTTAGTCCGTGAGGCAGACAGCCTGTGTACTTTCAAGGCTTAAAACTTCCCTTTGGCTCAGATTATCTCTTCAAAACGCAATATTCTCCCCAATTACTGAATAAATGATCATATGATAACTGCAATAAAAAAAAAAATATATATATATATATATATATATATATATATATATATATATATATATATATATATATATATACACAGAAGATAGAGTTCATTTCTAACAATGACTGCATATCAGTTCAATTCAGAATAAAGCATTGCCTCCAGGACCTTAACAATTGCTATTCAATATGGAGCATCTAGTGCAATTGAAGCATTTATGCCACTGAGGCTCCCATTTCCTCATTAAGCCAGTTACTGTTTTGGGATGATACCAGCTGCATACCTGGAGAAGGAATTGTCAAAGATGAGTGTGTAGAGGCCTGGGTGTCGTGCTTTCAGTTGTCCCTGAACTGTCTCCTTATGGGAATTGCAACGAGTCAGAGAAATCAGAACCTGAGAGCAGAACAGAAACATAACCCAATCACTATCTCAGTTCAGAACACATCACTTTCAAGGGAGGGTCAAACAACACTTCCTAACCGCCTCTTCAACATACCAGTCACCAAATCTTGCAAACTTAAATATAACTTGAATATAAATATAACTCTTACAGAGAAAATATTACATACAGGTGAGATCTTGGGAATAAATGAGATAGAAGATAAAATAAACTAACATTTCTATGCAGACTGTTGATACCATCACTCTGAGGCTGTTTACCTCTGCCTGTATGACTGAAAACAAAATTACTCGAGTCTCTGTAGGAGGTATTCTCAATTTCAGTCAGCAGTTTCTGTAAACAACTTCCCCCTCTAAAAATGCTGTGAATTTTCCACCTTTCAGTCTTATTTAGCCATTTAAAGCATTTAAAAGGTTATGTAACAGCTCTGCCTTTGTCAGTTGCTATTTCTGAGCTAAAAAAAAAAAAAAAGACAGCTGTGAAGGCGCAACAATACAGAGATGTCAAAAGTCCAGACATCTGTGCTGCACATTTTAAGGACCCAGGTGAAAGCAAAAGGAGCACTTCCTGTAATTTAACAAAAACTAAGATGAAGCAGGAGGTCTACCTTTGACTGTTCCACCTCACTTTCACTGGATTCCCGGTAAACCACACTGAAGGAGATACTCTTGGGCTCGGAGGAGAACATCCAGCCAATACTCGTCCCACATTCTGTCACAGTTACATCAATGGTACTATAGCAGCTGGACTTGATAAAGAGCTCCCTGGAGCCGTCACCAAACTGTGAAATGTCATCAATGCTCAGAGGGACAGTGGCTCTGTAAGAGTTCACATTTTAGGACTCATTAAAGAATTAACCGCCCCAAAATAACCAACTCCACAAATGTGAAGCAGATCAAACAATAATACTCACGTGACTTCCCCTGATCTGAGGAGGTTAATCTCTGCATCTTGAACCGTGGGGACACCGTCTTCATCAGGGGTCACATCTCCAGGACCTCTGCTTAAACACAATAGAAATGGAGCAAAATGACATCCCTGAAACAGGAGTGACTGCAGCCATCAGCAGACTGTTAAAGAAATCCCTTAGGCATGAGTCTTATGACTAGGAATTTAATTGCACAATAAACATATGCATTTCAGTGGGTAATTGGAACTTTTTTTTGCATATTTTAGACCAATTAATTAATTTTAATTCAAGATAAGCATGCAGCTGTGGCACCTTTAGGCTTAACTTTCAGGAAAGTATTACATATTCTTCATGCTGCCAACTATATGCTTTTTATAATTCATTTTAAAAATGCACAAACCCTGATCATGAACATTTGTTGAGCTTTAAATAATTTTAGTCAAACTTTTTGGAGTTTTAAACCCAGAGCTTGGTTCTCAACTTCAAAATAGTTTAAGATTTTATTCCATTTAAAAACATGCATCCAGGCCTTAATGTGCACTCACATCCACCAATATTGTTTTTTTTCCCCAAAAGTTGTAAGGAAAATAATGTTTGTCACCACTAACAAGTTCCTGCTTTTGTTGGCGCTTTTCATTAACAGCTGTTATTCATATTCAACACATTAAACAGTGTTTTGTTGTGTGCTTGGAATCGACATGTAAAATGCCCCCAAGCCCCAAATCTCACGGTAGTGTACAAAGTAGAGTTAAAAGCTGGGCCCAAACAAGGAAGGCAACCAATTTACCAATGATAAGAATGGTCGGTCAAAGATTAATGTCAGGACATCATAGATGACAACAAACAGCATGTGGCTTCTTTAAAACCTATAATCAAAATACTAATAGGAGGCTCAGTGTATGTTTTAGTTGGTTATAGCATTTGGATTTTTTTGTAAATCAATAGAGTTCAGGTTTTTGCACCAAGTTCAATAAATCCATCAATTGTTAGTTGAAGAGTCAGTCTATCCTCGTTAAAAACAACAGAAACAATTCAAATGAATAACTGAAGTGTATTAAAACGTATTTTAACACAAAATATAGGATGCAATGAAATCAAAATGGAAAAAATTCAATCTTTTCTACAAATTACTCTGCTATTCTCATACTCACACAGTTGTACTTTTACCCACATCATCAAGGATCTTGTCAAAGATTCTCTCTATCAGAACAGACATGGTGGTGCATTCAGGACTTTGTAAAAGAGATGTTAGATGTATGATGAAAAAAAAATGGATAGCAACACCAGTTAGCAGCGTGATATCCGTGATAGCGATCCCTCATTTAGTTCTATCATATTTGCTTTATAAAGGTTTAGAATGTAGTTCGCAAACCTTATAAATAGAGCAGTTTCTACGGCAACAAATGACTATTTGAAAGGATAAAAGTGAAAAAGTGCAACTAAGTACTTCTCCCTTCAGAATAAAAATCCTACAGTCTGTGGAGAAGGAGGAAAGTACCTTAAAACAACAAAGAAGCACCAAGCTGGCTGACATCTTGCTTACAACAGCAGAGCAAACGGCAGCGAGTAGAAATATATAACAATCCGCCTGATTTGATTCAGCCTGATAAAACAGGGGATGCGTGTTGATAACACTAATTAAAAGCCTTGTTCTTGGATGATTACTGCTGCAGGATCTCATCTGACCGGGAACGGGTAGAAACAAACAGATTGAAAAACAAATCAACTGAGGCATGTTTTATCTGCGCTACTCAGCTCTGTCCAATGGCACACTGGGTCAGAACTGGGCCCAATTTGAAAGGTAAACCAAGAATTTGTATAAACCTGAATCAATATGCTGCAGCATGATATGATGACGTCACACTCTTTTTTTTTCCAACTTGTACTTTTGATTCGGTCAGTTTCACACATACTCTTACAATAGAGCTTAATACCCGAGTCTCCTATAACCCTGTTCCTGAAGGTCAAATAAACTAGAGCAGGCATTCCAATAAAGAAGGCCAATATCTTCCTCAAACTTTCTTTCAGGATCAGAAATCTAATCAAGTCAAAATTATCCATGCAGGTAACAGTCAGGGATCTTAAAACATGCAGTTTAGTTGCGTTGGTATCACCCACTTTTCTGTCTAAACAGCAAACAGCAGGTGTGGATGTTTCCCTTACATTAAATCGAGGAAAACATTTCATTGTGGCTGTTTATTTTTTGTTTAATTCAGAAAGCCAGTCAGCTTTGAAATCAGTCTAAATGAGTTTTGATTGAGTCGAACTAACGATGTGAACGCAGTATTTCATTAAATTAAGTGATTATATAAATGAACCTGGCATGACTGAGTGGATTGTGAAGCGTTTAGAGTCTCTCTGATGCATAGAAAAGAATAACTTCTTAAATATAACATGGAAGTGAAACCAATTGGCGCCTTCTTCTATGCATTACCAACCCGGTTCTGTCTCAATCCATAATGGAGACCATCCACAACACCAGTGGCAGGAGGAAGAACAAAAAGATGGCTGCCAGAAGCAAACATCCACAAAAAGACGTGCAATAAGATTTTGACTTCCTCCTCAATTAAGGCCTTCTCTTTATTTCTGAAGTGTCTCCCTCTCTGAATATGTTTGATGCTGCTGAATAAGATAGATCACTAAAATGGTTTCCTCTCTCAGTTTTGTGACAGGGACTTAAAAGAAACATTCAAATTTAGATAAGGCCATAGAAGTCCTTTTCTTTTGGCTTCTTAGGAACCGATAAGCTTAACATTTTTGTACAAAAAAAGGATTGGTCAAAATCCTCAATCTCAACTATACTTTTAGTGTTTTGTGGTGTGCAAAACTCTATTAGTTTTCACCATAAGTCAGAATTCTTATCTTGACAAACCTTTCTCCGCGATAGAGAGACAGTTTAACACTTGGCTGCCCTTTCCATGGATGCTAATATCGGTGCCTGAAAATCTCTGTTCTCCTGGGGCTTTGTTCAAGGCAGAGCTAATCTTCTAACATGAGTCACGAGATAACCCTCTACCCCCACATAGCTTGTTTCACATAACCTGTGCATAGAAGTCTCATACTTGAATACAAAAATGTATTCAAGCTAAAATAATAATCCCCCCCAAAAAATGTATTACTATCCATCAATTTATATATAAATAAACAAAAATCAGAGAAATGGAAGTCAACTAATAGAAGGTGGTGACCAAATCTGCTGAGCATCGTTATAAAACACCAAAACAAAATTAAATGGAAGAGTGCATCTTATGTGAAGAGAGATGAAAGCACAGCCATTAGTACCAAGGCCAAAATACAGGTGCTGGTCATAAAATTAGAATATCATGAAAAAGTAGATTGATTTCAGTAATTCCATTTAAAAAGTAAAACTTGTATATTATATTCATACATTACATACAAACTCATATATTTCAGATGTTTATTGTGTTTAATTTTGATGATTACAAATGACAACAAATGAAAATCTCAAATTCATCATATCAGAAAATTAGAATATTGTGAAAAGGTTCAAAATTGATGGCCCCTGGTGCCACACTCTAATCAGCTAATTAACTCAAACCACCTGCAAAAGCCTTTAAATGGTCTTTCAGTCTAGTTCTATAGGCTACACAATCATGGGGAAGACTGCTGACTTGACAGTTGTCCAAAAGACGACCATCGACACCTTGCACAAGGAGGGCAAGACACAAAAGGTCATCGCTAAAGAGGCTGGCTGTTCACAGAGCTCAGTGTCCAAGCACATTAATAGAGAGGCGAAGGGAAGGAAAAGATGTGGTCGAAAAAAGTGTACAAGCAAGAGAGATAACCGCACCCTGGAGAGGATTGTGAAATAAAACCCATTCAAAAATGTGGGGGAGATTCACAAAGAGTGGACTGCAGCTGGAGTGAGTGCTTCAAGAACCACCACACACAGACGTATGAAAGACATGGGTTTCTGCTGTCGCATTCCTTGTGTCAAGCCACTCTTGAACCACAGACAGCGTCAGAAGCGTCTTGCCTGGGCTAAAGAGAAACAGGACTGGACTGCTGGTGAGTGGTCCAAAGTCATGTTCTCTGATGAAAGTAAATTTTGCATTTCCTTTGGAAATCAAGGTCCCAGAGTCTGGAGGAAAAGAAGAGAGGCACTTCATCCACGTTGCTTGAAGTCCAGTGTAAAGTTTCCACAGTCAGTGATGGTTTGGGGTGCCATGTCATCTGCTGGTGTTGGTCCATTGTGTTTTCTGAGGTCCAGGGTCAACGCAGCCACATACCAGGAAGTTTTAGAGCACTTCATGCTTCCTGCAGCTGACCAACTTTTTGGAGATGCAGATTTCATTTTCCAACAGGACTTGGCACCTGCACACAGTGCCAAAGCTACCAGTACCTGGTTGAAGGACCATGGTATCCCTGTTCTTAATTGGCCAGCAAACTCTCATGACCTTAACCCCATAGAAAATCTATGGGGTATTGTGAAGAAGAAGATGCAATACACCAGACCCAACAGTTCAGAAGAGCTAAAAGCCACTATTAGAGCAACCTGGGCTATCATAACACCTGAGCAGTGCCACAGACTGATCGACTCCATGCCACGCCGCATTGCTGCAGTAATACAGGCCAAAGGAGGCCCAACTAAATACTGAGTGCTGTACATGCTCATACTTTTCATGTTCATACTTTTCAGTTGGCCAACATTTCTATAAATCCTTTGTTTTTATTGGTCTTCAGTAATATTCTAATTTTCTGATATGATGAATTTGAGATTTTCATTTGTTGTCATTTGTAATCATCAAAATTAAACAAAATAAACATCTGAAATATATGAGTTTGTATGTAATGTATGAATATAATATACAAGTTTCACTTTTTAAATGGAATTACTGAAATCAATCTACTTTTTCATGATATTCTAATTTTATGACCAGCACCTGTAAACCATAAACCTGCACTCTCTAGCCTGCTTTCTCTCCATCACCAGAACTTTAAGCTGTGTTCCTCCAACAACTCATCCGCTACACTCTTCTGAAATGTTATTTTGTCTCTTTGAATACTGTGGGGAGATCTTCATTTATTATAAATTGCCTTTTAATCAGTCTGCTAACTTGTCTGAATGTCAAAGCATCCATCAGTCCTAATTAAAAACTAGTAACGAATGCAGTGAATGAATTTATTGAACCAAACAATTTGCTCCTGTCTGACACAAGGCTGCAGAAGACAAGACTAAAAGAAAGAAATCAAGTTTAATCTTAACAATTTTGTCTAAAAATCTCTTTTGATGAGTTACCCAGTAGGGTAGTGGCATATCTGAAACACCCTCACATATTATAGGCATAAAAGCAGTAGTTGAACCAAGAGTTGTGAACCTCTTATAGGAATATTATGCTCACGTTTCATGTGCTCCTGGATGCTGGTGCTCTTGATCTTCCTCCAGAGAGCCTCCGGTGGTCTGAGAGTTACTATCGCTGTTGTAGACGTCATTCACCTCCTCTTCTGTGATGATGTCATAACCTCCATCGTCAGATCTGCTACTGGGCTCAGAAACTAGAGACAATTCATGAATTTAATGTAATAACCGTGTTGCTGTGTTAACCTTAAATCAGAATAAATTAACACACGATTTATTAGTTTATTTTCAAAGTTCGAAAGATCGAATTTGCACAAAAAACTATTTAGTTTGTATGCTTATCAAAAAAATTGTTAAATCCTATTAGGTGAGAACTGATTTGGGAAATCTTCCAAACCATAAAGTTAAGCATTTCGGTTTTGGGTTTAGTAATGATCTATTAAGAAACTAGTATATATTTAAGCTTATATTTCCCTATATATAAATAATTTAACAAGTATTTTACACATACTATTAACCTCCCTCTCATGTGCCATCAAACTCTTACATATACCATTAAATTCTCTAAAATACCATTACCATTAAATGTGTCATTTCTTTATCCAAGAGCATTGTGGTAGTTTATTATAAATTAGCTTTTACTGTTTGTTTTTGGAATTGCTTGGGCCAACACATTGCATATTTCACATAAAGCTGGTAAACAGAGAGAAAAAAAAAAAAAAAAAAAAAAGATATCCAAGCAGTATAAAGCCATCATATTTTCAGCTATACTTAAGATTTGAGATTTTTCACAGCAAATGCAATTTAAATTCCCATTTTAATTTTAATTGGTGCATCGCATATTTTCGCTCGTACAGAAATACAAGTTTTTTTTTTAAGTTGACAATGTTACAGTGTTTTCATTCTGTTTTGTTTGCTTTTATTCTTTTTTTTCTGTTTTTGTACACTGCCATTTCAAAGAAAATGGCTAGAACTACCACGAAGGGGTTAACACTAATGAAAAATTTGTAAACCAAGTGAATATTTGTGATTGTGTGAGATTTTAAGAAATGTAAGAGAAATTTAACATTTAGCCTAATGGGGCCCCTTACGGAAAACTCCTGTTTATAGCTAACATAACTGAAGTATTTGGTTTTTTTTTATGTATTACTTTAGTATATTTAAACAGACACATTGTTGTTGAAAATTAGACATGTTGAAAGTCACTGGTTCCTTATTAAAATAAACAGCGCTTTTGTTTACTGGACATTGAAACGTAGAAAACAAAAGCAAAGCAAATATTTTATTCACTGTTCATGCATGAAGCTCAATTTATTTGGCAAGGGTTTTAATCCCTGTTCCTCTTTGTGTGAAAAAGTGAGCCCTTTCACTTCTGCTGCAAACTTTTTCAGCTGACAACCAATTATCAAAGAACAAACCATTAACACTATTTAGGAACTGCTAAGTTTTGAGGTTCATAAGTAATAGCAGAGAGGCATTTTTCTTTTAAACGCATCTCTCACCAGTTCCTCCGGAAGTCTCCTTGTATGGAGGCGGCTGCGGAGGAAGCTGGGGTTCAGCAGCGGCTGGGGGTGGCTGCGTATCCGAAGGACTCGCATCTGCCTCTGTGAACCTCTCTACCACTGTACTGTGCTGTTTGCAGCAGTCGCTGCAGCAGCGCTCCTTCTTCCCGCTGTGCTTTGTCATGACAAAGTTGTTACTGCAGTAATAGCAGAAAATGCGGCCACAGAGTCTAGAAATAAGGGCAGAAAAAATACATTTTGTTTTCATATTAGGCATTCCATGAACTCTCAAAAATAATGATGTGTCCAGGGCAGGAAGTGTCTGTTAAGCCTATTTACCTGCAGTGATGCCTGCGCAGATACCAGGTGAACTGACCATTGCAGCCCAGACAGTGAGTGGCCTCCTTATCCACCAACCACCACTGCTCCTCAGCTCGCAGTTTCTGCTCAAACTCCAAAGCATCAGACTTCTGCCACAGGGCATCTTTGTCCCTTAGGTAGTTCAGAAAAAGAAAAGAAAAAAAACAGCCAGATGCATTTTCATAGATTTAAAGATGCTTTAAAAATGGGGTGAAAAAGAAGTTCATAGCTTCAAAGGCATATTTTACAACTTGAATAATAATGCTTAAAATATTATGATCAAAAATCTCTTTTTAAGGCTGCAGTTGATAAGCTATTAAGTATTTTATCATTTATTTAAAAAATACATTCTGTAGTCATTTCTTAAAACTATTCAGGCTTATTTTATGAGTATAAGAAATGCATAAAGAAAATTCAAGTACATCATTTTTTCAAGAAAATTAACATTTTATATTACAATAACATTTGTGTAAATTTTAAAATGTGCAGTAAAGAGGGATTTGAAGCTAGAAAAAACAAAAAAAGGTTCAACATCAACTAACATCAACCTGTCAAAAGCTCATTTTTTTGGATGATTCACGATCAATTAATCACTTTCAGACTTTGTAGAGCAAATGGTCACAAATAAAGAAGTGCATCTATTGTCTGTCATATAAAGCATACTGAATTTGAAAAGATAAATGTTCAGCATCAACCATGGAACCCCAGTAGTGTGCCTCAGTGCAGCCAACTGCAAAATCTGCCTTTTTTTTACCATTTAGAATGAATAACCTGAATCTATAGGATGTTACTTTCATATTACCGTGCATTTTTTCAACAATTGGACTTGTAATTGTTAATTAAAAGTTAATTAAAAACGTTTATAAATTTTTATTCTTAAAACCATCTTAGTGTTGCCCCAAGGATAAATGATTGCTACTGCTGTTGAATTATCCTATAGGTTCAAACACTGCATGCTTTAATAGTCCGTCTCCTGGTGTTCAACTTAGAGACATACGTCTCCATAGCAAATCTTCAGCACCACAATCTTAAATGCATATTTTCTGTACAGTTTTCACTTAATTACTGCTCTGAGTTTTTTTTTCTTTTAGCAAATGTCTTGTTTTTAAGTCAGTACATTCCAGTCTGGAATAATTTCATTATTTCAATAATTAATTATTCACCACTAATCCAGTTAATTGTTTCAACTCTGCTTCTTTTCCTACCTTGAAATTATGCATCTAATAAAAAAAAAAGCGTATTTAATAGGAAGAAATGGAGAGGGCTAAATAATGTTTGCAGTCAATTAACCTAAAATAATTTTGTCAAAATCATTAAAGGATGCAGTCATTAGAAAAATCAATAAAACAAGAGGACCATACTGAACCGTTCGCAGTTCGTCAAAAACAGTAAAACATCCTCGATGGTTTAAGACAAAGGTCTTACTTTATAAGCTCAATAAGCCTCTCCTCCAGGTTAATCTTCGTATTGTTGAGGTCCTCAATCTCTGCACCCATCTTCAGATATTGACTTTGTTTCTCAGACTCTGTTGCTTCAAGTTTCTGCTCGAGTTCCTCACACATGGTTTGAGCAGCCAAGTGTGCCTCTTCAGAACTGGAGTAGCAAGAAAATCAGTTATTCTTTTGTCATGAATTTAAAAACGTATTCAGGGTAATGGCCGCACCTGGTTACAGAGGTTCTCAGTTGCTGAATTTCGTCTTCATTCTCACGGATGGTGGCTTCCGCCTGTGTGATGTAAGCATCTTTCTCACCAATCAGCTGCAAGTATTTTTCATTCACAGCCTTTTGTAGATATCAGAAAATAAAAAGAAAACAATAATCAGACACCTGTTCTTATTCATATGAGGCCTTTGAGCTCATCTGAATAAACCAAAGTTTTTTGTTTTTTAGCCTCTTTGAAAGTTCAACTCTCTAATATAAATGTAAAAGCTGGATAAACTATATGAAAATAGATTGAATTATCATCTAAACCATGTGAAAGAGCCAATAACATAAGAGCTAAAGACATCAAGCATCCATCTTTCATTCTGCAATCAAGTTAAGACAAAGTGTGTCAGTAATCAAGACTTCATTACCTGTGAACAAAATTAACGGAAGAAACACCTAAACATTCTGCCACCTTGCCTAAAGTCATTAAAATCCTGTTAATGAACTAATAATCAGGGCGTTTAGAATTTATGTTTGTTATCATTATGTGTGTAAACCAATCAATATAAGCATTTGAAAAAACATAAAAATTAGAGTTTCGCAAAGAAATGCTTCTTTTAATTATCTCAGTGCTTCACTCAGATTAAAAACAGGAAAGCATCGCTTCTTATAATGCTTCAATGATAGAACCATGACTAAGTCTGTTCTTAATTTTCACTTTTTAAAAATATGAAACCTTGAGTTCAGACACTTCCTCTTCCAAGCTGGAAACTATTTTTTGCTCCTCCTCCAGCTGTGCAGAAACTTTCTCCAAATTTTCAGTCAAAGCCTGCAAAACAACAAGACAAACACTTCAATTGTTAACATTTACTTGCATCACAGGACAAGCCTCCAAAAAATGACATAAGGAAAAACAGATAAAGCAGAATAATAAGTTTATACGTTTGTTTCTATCCTCCTATAAACTTTGACAGTTTAACTGCATCAACATTTTATCTGTAAAGTGATGTTTTCATAATGTTACAGTCTTATTGAGGCATTTCGGAAAAAAATAGAAGCAGTTTTAATTAATACCTTACTCAAACAAGATACAACAAAAAAGCAAAACAAACAAAACGTGCAGAGAAGTTAATTTCACTAATTTAAACAAACTACTACTGTGAAATTACAAGAAAAGAGGATTAAACAATTAATCTTACTTTCTTCAAATGATATGGCAGGAACAGGACAATTAACAATTTAAAAATCATTAATTAAAAACGATTTACCATGCTTATAATCCAAACCTAATGAGGACTAAGCACAAAGCACAGCAGGCTGAATAAGAAGCTCATAAGCCTTGCTGGGATTTGTTTAATCTAAAATTGGCTTTAAAAAAAATATGACAAAGCCAAGCTATCCGGATATGATTAATTCTGCATAAAAAATAAAAAGTTTGGCACATCTGCAAATCTACTGAGACAAGACTGAAGGGCTGTGCAATAAATGAAAGAAATGTATTACAAAATAAGGATTTCATATCAATATAAATAATTACTAGTGTATAATTTACCATTGTAAACCTAACTGTATTTCAACATTAAAAATAGGTAATGCCCTACTGCTATCCTTGCTTAGTTTGGCTGTAAGAGCTTGCGGTTAAATCCTTTCCTATGTGTACATCCCCCAAAATGCTTTGTGGTTCTGGATTAAAGTACCGAGAATTAACTAAATTATTTAAAATTTTATATTGGTATTTATCAGGTGTCTATCATGATTAATATTGGCAAAGATTTACTTAGGGCAAGCAAGAAAATAATGAAGGAGTGAAGAACCCAAAAGAAAAGTCTCTTTTGAAGGAGCAACAAAGAACAGCAGCAATTGTGGTGACTCCACAATTGTTTTCACGTGAGGAGGGACTCCGCAAAATAGCCACACCTGATCTGTAACATGATACACCTCACTTCACGTGCAAAGAATGCAAACTTTCTGCAAACATTTTAACAGCAAGTCACTCATAGGTGGACCGCAGCTAGCTGGAGTCAGCATACGATCTAAATCCCACATGGATGAAAGGTGTGAAAATGCATATTTGCATAATTTCAAAACAAAAATGTTAGACCAGCATAACTGTCAGAAAACATCAGGCTTTCAACCAACAGATGAATAAACACATTTTTATTATCAAGACCTGTTGGAGCCCTCTGCTGTGCTTCCAGAGTTCATCATGCACCGTCTTATACTTCTATCTGAACGAGAGCTTAAAGGAGCAGATTGTTTATAAAAGGAAAACCGCTTAATTTTAATCCAAGTGTGAAAAACCTTTCAGAGTTTAAGCAGGTGAGCTGAAATCATTGTGGGTAATTGGAGAGGACTAATGGGCGGAAAACTCAACCCAATGAATATGGTTGCCACTGTCATAGCAGGTTGGGCAATGTCCTTGCAGTCGGCACCAATGCAGAGCTCAGGCAGGAGAATTAAGGATCCTTTTTGAGTTGCAAGAAAACCATTGTTCAGCACCAAAGGCACAAGAAATATTCTGATACAAAGTTTAGATGTTTTTGGCTTCTATAATAAAATGGTAATCTAATAAAACGAATTATACAGATATTTTAAAAATAATTTAAGCTTTTATTTTGCTCTTAGTATTTTATATCTGGAAGGTGATAACATGACTAGTATGACTGATCTAGTTAAAGTAAGAGGTCTGAATAATTATGTGTGCCTGAAACGTCACTTGATAAAGTGCAGCTCTACTCAGTTTTAGCAGATGTTTTCCAGATGTCAACCTATTTTTTAAGGGACTTTTAGGACATCATTAATCCGTACATTTAGCATGAACCCAGCCAATAATCTTGAAGCATGTCTTCTTAAACTCACCTTTATTTGAACCTGATGGTTCATGGTCTCAGAGCTCATTTGGAACTTGACAGCATCCATCTCCTCTCGGCAGCAGTCCTTAACGCTGCGCACTTGGTTTTTGGCTTTTTCCAGCTCCTCTTGGAGCTCCTCAATAGTCCCAGGCAGGGACTCCTTCTGCGTCAGCTCCTCCCGTAAATGGTTGTTCTCCTGCCGTAAGTCATTCACACACTTCTCAATCCGCTCCACTTCTTTCTCCAACTCTTCAATCCTAGCAGCATCAGCTGTTAAGTGTTCGCTTGCTTCTTCCCTCTCTGCGTTCAGCTTACAGATGGTCATCCCCAGCTCTGCCATCTCTGTGTTTGCTCTGTGCAAAGCCTCACGGATCTCTGTGTTCTCTGAGGCCAGCTTGCCGTTTTCTGCTTTGATGGCAGCAAGCTCTTCCCGAATGGCAGCGGAAGAATTAGATAACTCCGCATAGGCAGCTACTTCTCGATCACACTGGTGAACCAATGCCTCTTCTTTCTTTTTACAGTCCAGGAGCTCTGCCATGTGCCTCTGGTTCAGTCCCTCTGCTTGGGATTTAAGCTGCTCAGTAAGAGACCTGAGCTCATCTCTTTGGGCCTCTGTCAACTCCAGCTGTGCTTGAGATTTCAGTTTTTCCTCCTCAGATCTCTGCACTTGCACTTTCAGGTCCAGGATTTCTTCCTGGAGCCTGGAAACATCCTTTGTTCTAACTTCCAACTGGCTTTCAACTACATTTACCTTAGCAATCAGTTCCTGGCTCTCCTTTGCTTGGGCTGAGCTCCTCTCTAGTTGTAACGTCTCCATTGTCTGCTTCTCTGATGTTATCCTTTCTATCAGTTCTGCCTGTTTAGCACAAGTTGCTTCTGCCTTTGCTTTGGCTATCTCAGACTCTTTCTCCTTTGCCTCCAATTCTTTTAACATTGACATCAATTTAACAACTTCCTTATCTTTGTTTTCCATCTGCTCTTCTTTTGTATTGAGTTGTTCTTGAAGACTGACCTCTTTAGTGTTTAAAGCAGCCAAGTTTTTTTCCAGTTCTCTGATCTGAACGTGAGCATTTTTCAAGTCCATCTCTAACCGAGTTAGTGTTGCCTTTAAGTTGTCCTGCTCCTCCCTCAGAGTCTGGTTCTCCTGCTCCAGCCGCTTTGCTGTACTCTCTGATTTGTTTGCAGCCATTGTGGCCCGCTGCAGACTCTCATCCAGACTGCGGTTCTCCTCACGGAGAGATTTCTCTTTTTCATCCACCGTCATCTTGGCATCATCCACCTGACCTCGCAGCTGTTTCTCAGAAGCTCTTAAAGCTACCAGTTCAGCCTCAAGCACCTTTCTGTTCTCTGCCATCTCCTTTTCCTGCTCCTCATTTCTGCTCACCAGCTTCTCTTTTATTTCCTGTAAGCTGGCACATTTCCTCTGGTAGTCCTCCACCTGTTCTCTGATCTTTGCCTGGTACTGATCTAGGCTAGCGGTCAGTTCGTCCCTTTCTGTAATCAGCATTTTGTTCTTGGTTTCTAGCTTTTGTAGTGTCTCACTGCTGGAGCTTAGCTCTGCTTCTTTGTTTGTAAGCTGCAGAGAAAGTTCATTAACTTTAGCTTCTAAAGACTCATTTGAATTATCTAAAATTTTCTGCATCTCTTCTTTTTCTTGCTTTGCCCTCCTCTTCACCTCCTCTAAATCATGTTCTTTCTTTTCTAGAGATCCTTTCAAGTCCTCCAACTCTCTCTGCAGACTGCTCATCTCCGTTTCTCTCAGCGCCAGGTCCCCCTGAAGCTTTTCCAGAGTACTGGACTGTTCTTCCACTTTTGCCTTCAACTTGGCCTTGTCCTCTTCAGAAGAAGTCAGCAATGCCTCAAGCTTTGTTTCATTCTCCTTCCACTTCCCCTCACTGACTCTTGCCTCCTCTCGCAGCCTCTCTACCCGTCTCCTGTTCTCCTCCATCTCAGCTAAAGCTTCCATCTTCCCTTTCTCTGCCTCCTTTAACTTGTCTAACAACTCGTGAATCTTCTGCGCTGAATCAAAATAACTGGCAGCCTGCTGGCCTTTCTCATCTAGAATCCCATCCAATTTGGCCATGAGCTCTATGTTCTTTTGCTCGGCAGCAGCCAGCTTTTCCTGAAGTGAGGCATGCTGTGTTTCCTTTGCCTTTTCCTCAGCTCTAAGAGCTTCCACCTGGCAGGATAGAGCAACTTCTCTCCCCTGCAAGTCTCTGAGTTCTTCCTGCAAGCGCAGGTGCCCTTCTTGAGCGGCAAGCGACACATTGAGCTGACTCTGAAGCTCTTCAATTACTCCTTTCATCTCGGCAGACTCCTCGCCAAGCTGCTGAACCTTATCAAGGAGATCTCTTTGCTTTAGCTCAGACTGATCGAGCTCCAAGCGAAGGTCTTCAACTGTGTTGCTATCTTCCATGCAGGCTGGTAGGGAATCATTCAGATCATTCAATAAACTATGCCCATAGTCTGGGCTGGAGGCACACTCAGGCGCTTGCTGCTTGATTAAAGGGGAGAAGAAAAAAAAGGATAAGTAATACTTATTACTTTCTGATTTCAAATAATATTGTTAGTAAATGGAAAAATGTTCATTACCTGAGAGTAAGAACTGGCCAGACTATTGATACTGGAACTGCGACTTGGTGGTTTCCACATGTGGCCAGGTGAACTAGCATTTCCTAGTGTCCTCCTGTTGATCGGAAAATAAGGAAGTCTTTTACGGAAACCACCTCAATGATTTTTTGGTGGTCTCTAATCAAGTCTGTTTAATCTTTCCAAAACATGGCAAACAAGCAGCATTTTATTAAAGAGACATCATCCAACAGATCTATTATTATGTAAGCATTTGCTACTACTAAATCCTGCTATGTTAAACCTCAGTGGTTCATAGAAATTTTATGTTGTGTGATCAGTATGTCTATTTAAGAGTTTCCTGTTTGATTACCTTGCAAATGTTGGCCAGGAGGCATCAAGATCATGGCCTCTGGAAGCCACATCAAACTGCACCTCGTTGAGCTCGTACAGATGATTTATTATGTCAGCACTAAGGTGTGGCTTCAAAAAGGGACTTCTTGCATAGTACCAGTCACTGAATGAAGATTCAGAGTAGAAAAGTCAGGGAGTAGCATTAAAAGAAACTGTTTTATCTGTAAATCTCCAGATTGTCATGTGACTTGATTTCCAAATTAAAATTTAATGAAAATAATCAAATTAAACACTTAATTTCCCTTTGGGATTAAAACATATTTTTGAATTGAATAAAAGTAGCTTGTCTAGAACTGCACCAGAAAGTAATACTGTAATATTCTAAGTATATCTGCCTACAAAGTTAAGGGTAGGTCTGAAAAGATTGCATTTCAGTGGTCTAGAACTCAAATCCATGAGGACCTGTGTCCTGCTACTTTAACATGTGTGCCTGGTCTGCACACAAATCAAATGACTAAACTGCTTCACTAGCATGCAGTCAAGTTCTGCAGAGCTCTGCAAATGAGCTGATATTGGAATCAGGTGGGTTTAGGCAGAGACTAATCTAAAAGCTGCGAGACACCGGCAATTGAAGACAGCTGTTTAACATCTCTGCTCTGGTAACTGCAGAAGAAGAACTAAAAGACTTGACGCAATATAGTCAAATTGAATTGTTTGAAATCCTAGATCAGGGGTGTCAAAGTGGTTCCAGAAAGGGACGTGTGGCTGCTGGTTTTCTTTCCACCCAAGCAGTAGCACACCAGACTCCATTCATCCCATCAAGTCATCAGGTTAAGACTAGACTCACCTTGATGAGACGAATGGAGCCTCCGGCGCTTGGCGCGTGGAAGAGAGTAGGCGAAATGGTTTGGGGGTCCTCGTCGGAAGAAGGAGACGATGACAACGACACTGATTCGAGTCAAAAGCCAGTTTGTGGGATCAAGATGGTGGCTCAAGTTGTGGAGGATGAGGAAGAGCTAGAAAGTGATTCGGATATGGATGGTTTGATGCCAGTTGGTAGTTACCGGAGAAATGGAAAATCCAAAAGTAGTGAAGCGGGCAGAGCTTGTGAGAATTCAGGAATCAAAAGAAACCTTGAAGACGAAAGCTCAGATGATGGAAGCAAGGGTGTACGTAAAAAAATCCCGAAAGAAGAGGTGAAGATAATATTAAAATTCAGAAAGGAAGATTAAAATATTATTCTGAGCCCAGTAACAGTCTCTAAGGAGCTAAAAAAGAAAGTGGGGGAAGTTGAAATGGCTAAAACTCTGAGAGATGGAAACTTGCTAATCGTCTGTAAATCAGAAGAGCACAAAAGGAAAGCAATGAGTGTTGAAAGTACTGGAAAGAAAAGAGTGGAGAGTAAAAGAGTGTTGGGTGAAAAGAAAGAATCCCGAGGAGTTATTTACGGAATTCCGGTTAATGAAGATCTGGAGAGATTAAAACATAACATCCATAATGTTGAAGTCAGTGATATAAAGACATTGCAGAAAACAGTGAACAATGAGAGAGTTGACAGCTTATCTGTGCTTCTGAAATTTTCTACTCCAGAAGTCCCGCAGAGAGTTAAAGTGGGTTTCATGTGCTATCCAGTCAGGCCTTATGTTCCTCCTCCACTTCGGTGTTACAAGTGTCAGAGATATGGTCACATTGCTGCAGTGTGCAGAGGCAAACAGAGATGTTTAAAATGTGGAGGGGAGTACAAAATACAAGAATGTGGTGAAAATACTCAGGATAAATGCTGTAATTGTGGTGGAGAGCACAGGGCAACATATGGAGGGTGTGATGTTAGGAAGAAAGCAGTTGAGGTTCAAAAAGTGAAATCAACAAACAATCTAAGTTATGCTGAGGCGTTAAAGAAGGTTCAGGAAAAGCAAAAGGAAACTGTGAGTAACATTCAAGTATTAAGGCGAGAACCAGAGCAGCATGCCAGGGTATATAACCCTGTTGACTTTGACAAACTTGTTTTGTTTGTGGCTTATGTTATTAACTGCACGGACCAGGTTAAACATAAAAATGAGAAAATCAAAATCATTGTTAAAGGAGCTGAGAAATTCTTGGGGATGAGGAATATGTCGTTGGATCAAGTTATACAAAAACTTGAGGTAGATGGCAATAAACCAAAGTAAGAGTGATATAAAAATCGATATGAGTAAAATAAAAGTTAAAAGTTTTTAAAAGAAAGATTCGAGAAGATTGGTTAAACAGTGGGAAGAAGATTCAAAGGAAGATTACTTTTTCGTTATTTATTGGCTACAGGTTTAGTGAAAAGAATTTAGGTTTTTTCCCTTTTTTTTTTTTTTTTTTTTGAGCATGTCTGTCTTGATCCACACTCATTACTGGTTGGTGGCGGTAATGCACCTCTTAATTGTTTGCCAACCGCCATAAAACAAGAAGAAGAAGAAGAAGAAGAAGAAGAGATGAATGGAGTCTGGTGTGCTACTGCTTGGGTGGAAAGAAAACCAGCAGCCACATGGCCCTTTCTGGAACTAGTTTGACACCTGTGTCCTAGATACTCCCATAATGACCTCAGTCTTATTTCAGAAACCCGTACCCCTGTTACAAGTTAATTTAACGCAGTCCTGATACCTCATTGTTCACCTTAGTACATCCGCATGCTGCAACCAAGTTGGAATAATACACTCGATTTTTAAAACAATACTCGTTTTGCTTGTTAAACTAAGGTAAGAAAAAATACAAACTTTCTTTAATGATTACTGTAGTGGTATTACTATGGTTTTTTTGGGGGTTTTTTTCTCTGAGAGAGATACTTTTGTAAATAAGTAACATAATCCAGTAAAGGGAAGAAGCAAACCGAAACACACGGAAGAAAAAAGCAAATGAACACCGACATTGTTCTGCGTTAAAAAAAAGACACAGTTAATTCACTTTGTGAGAATTTCAACTTAGAAAAAAAATGCTTTTTTGTTTTAATTTTTTAACATTTTGTCAGATGCAGACAGAATATAAGAGATGTACATTAATGTACATTAGAGCTGCAACTAACCATAATATTGCTAATTGATAAATCTGTTGCTTTTTGATTAATACATTAATAATTTGCATTGCAAAGGTTTTTCTATAGGAGATTTTACAGGATTTAAACCCACTGAAGCTAAAACTATGCCACTTGAGGAATTCTTGATACGCCATACTTACTAAAATAGGCAGGCTTTTATTTTAAAAAGCGAAATTTAAAATATTTTTGTACATTTTTTGGTTTAATTCCTACTCTGTGCAGTTTTTTTTTTCCAGCAGCAGTTCTTTCAGCAATTGGTCTGTTTCAGCCTCTGAATCCTCTAAACCTCATTAAATGTTGAACATTTCAATATCGAGTTGATCATGATTAATTCAATTGAATATTTCAGCCCTAATGCACATGTGGTGTTAAACCACAACTATATACATATTCATAGAAAAAAGTGGAAATGCAGTGGCTGTTATACCTGGTGACTCTCTTGTTGATCAAGCACTGCTGCAGCGTGTCAGCCAATCGCTGATGAACCAGGGAGTAGCGGATGAAAGCTCGTCCCTTTCCTAAAGACGTCTTCAGCTACAGAATCAAAAAGAGATGGTGTTTCCGTTAGCAACATGAAATACCAAAGAAATATGAGCATTTTAGTACAGAATTTAAAATGCAATGAACCCAAAGCTACATGGATGGTAATCTTAAAAAGTATTATTGTGTAATGGGTTTCATAATGATAGTGACATTAAAAACAGCAGACACACCTCAGAAATGGATTTCACAAAACGAATGCCATCATTGGCTCCTTTGATCTTTGCCAAACAATCAGTGAAGTAATCCCAGTAGTCTTTCTTAGTGCCCAGAAAAGTGGTTTTCTCCTTTTGGTCAAACTGAAAGGATTAAAATAAAAAAAAAATACTCAAGATATACTTTTTCACAAGAAGCCGAGAAAAGGCTAACACTCATTTGCTTCTAATAAATAAATGATGCAATTTCTATTGACCAACATATTTAAAGGCTGAAATAGCAGTAAATGTAAAAGCCACCTGTAGCAGATACTCCAGTTTATAGGAGAATTTGTGCAGACTGGTGCTGTCATCTGTGATTGGCTCCCCACTTTCCTTGTACTCTTTTGCGAGCTCTGCAACAGCATCTAAAGTTCACATACAGCCATATCAGAAGAGAAGAAGATGGACTTAGAAGAACAGTTTATGCATTTAATAAACCACCTCAAAAACAGCAGAGACCCTTAAATGGTGCATCTTCACACACTCGTTCCAGCTCCTGATAGAGGCTACATTAATGTTTACAATACAAATATCACCTTTGATGGTTTTCTTTCTAAATATTGAACATGCTTGTAAGTTTATAGTTGCAGAACGAAAGATTAAATTTTAAAAATCACTCCTTTAGCTGTTCTTAAATTCATTTATTCAGTCTTAACCACATATAGTTCATAATGTAGCACTCACACACCTATCTAGTAAAAAGGCTGACATACCGTGCAGATCTCGGATAATCCTTTGGAGCTGGCTCTCCCCGACTGCCATGGCTGCTCTTCCTGCTCCCTGGCAACTAGGAGTAGCTGGGTCGCATCCAATCAGCTGAGTAAAAGAATCGCAATCAGTGGGAAATAAAATATTGTCACAAATACTTCCAGCATAGTCTTGCATGGACAGAAGATGAATTAAAAGACAGGTTAGAAGATAAGCAGAAGATAAGAAATCCAGACACAACTAGTGTACAGAGTATGGCTGTGTAGCTCTATGCTTAATAGTTATAAATTTAAATGCAAAACAATTTTTATTATTTTAGAAATTTCTAGTTTTTATCCCTGGTCTACGTTCTTTTTTTTAATTGAAGTTTGCATGATCTCTAATGATAATCCAACTTCCTCCCACGGTAGAGTAAATGTAATCTTTCAATTGCCCTTAGGTTTGAGTGACTAAGCATGGTTGTACAACTCTGCTCTGTGATAGACTGGGGTATTCCCTTATTTTTACTTTCTTTTAAAGGTGGGTGGAAATCGGGTGAGGGAAATAATGTAGATTACAGAACAAGACTGAAATCTGGTTGACAGTTTAACTTCTTATGGAAGTGGAGAATGTGAACTTCCTTGTACCCATGTAAATTCTCAGTCACCCAGCTCACGGCAACCATAAAAGGTGGTTCAGTAGAAAGCGTACTAACGTTTGCTCAGTTTTCTGTAAACATTTCTAAACCTACCTATACCGATAAGAGTCGCCACAAACAATCATAGGCAGTACTATTGAAAACAAGTGTTATGCTGGAGTTGTTAAATAAATATTGTGTTAAACGAGTAACGCATGTTTAAGAGGAGTCAAAAGATTCTGTTATTTCTATCAGTTGGCAGTAGAGCAATCTGCAGCTCCTCATAGACAAGATCGAAGCAAAGGACTTGGTCAACCCTTAGCACATACGCATATCTATGTAATGTAAACATTTTACATTCAATAAATACATTTCTGCTATCTTTTGCCCCTCCTCCAGTTCCTTCCTTCAGGAATGGAAGGGTGGGTCAGCATGAGCTTTCAGATTGGACTGAGGCCATGCCGTCCCATGTGTTACAAACCATGATCCACTGTTTATTCAACGGCTATCAAAACCAGAACCAGCTGTAACATCCAGAGATATTTAAGCTATTTGTCTGTTGGAACCAGATATAACTCCTTTATCCATAAACACATCTGAGAGATAGTGACACAGACTGGGAACTTTGAACAATAGCTATTCCTTTTTGTCAATATCCATTACCTGCTTCTACCATTTCAACTGTCCCAGCTAATCAATATCATTCATTTCACCCATCATGGTGGTAAGGTCATGCCTACCTCAGTTTACTGACAACCAATATTCAGAGTTTGGTATTAAGCTTTAAAATAGCAGCATAATGACACCCTTAGCACTTAATGTTAGACTCAAGACTTTACAATAAATAAAGTAGCATCACAAGGACAGCAAAAAATACAAAGTGTGCATCATTACATGTAGCTGCAGGAAATTGGGACACAATTCCTATAGTTTTTTTTTTATTATTATAAAGCCACAACATGCTGAATAATGCCGTAAGATGCCTAATAAATTATTGTTTAATTTATTCTGCCATTTCTCCCTACGAATTTGAAAAAATTGCGAAAATGACAAAACTTATCTTGAAAGATTAAAAATTCTGTAAAATAATTTCTAACCCTGACATGTATCCCAGTAGCTGTCAATTAATTATATTTAGCCAAATAAAACAATAGAAAAAACGTACTGAACGACGCAGAAAGCTAACAAATCCCAAATGTTATTGCTCACCGAAAGTAAACTGTATTTAATTTACAATCCAACTTAAAATACACTTCGTGGGATTAGAGTTTAAAATCTAATCTCTTATTATTCTCAAATCAAATATAGGAAAACTACAGCCGTAAATTTAGCTCATAAACACTTTTACAGCTGTTCAATAGTCCTTCCTTACACAAAGGTTTTGTAACATTACGCTTAATAAATCGAGTTAAAACGCAAAAATAACCGTGACATCAGCACACAGTTTTTGTTTAGGTAAAATAATCTCATTCTACACTGTTTATAAAAACTAAAAACAGAAGAGTGCAAACAATTGCTTACTTTTTTTTAGATATGAGTTAAGACCATAACGTTGAGCCCTGAGCAGTCAAAGAGCTTGAGAGCCACGTGATTGATAGAAATAAGTGTCCAATGGCATCGTCTCTTGAAGCCATCTGACCAATCACCAGGAGGAATAAGGGCAGGCTTTGAAAGATAGAGGGTTTGGTTGATTTAGCACAGTAAACACTGCAGTCACGTGATCAATGACGCATCATTGTATGCCCCACTTTTCTTTAACTAGAAAGAGGTCAAATTAATGCATTCTTATGTTGTTTTGTTTTAAGTTGTAACCCCCCTCCCCCCCACTTTCATAGTATTTGTCTATTTCAGTTCTTCATAAAAAAAAATATATATATATATATATATATATATATATATATATATATATATAACGGCACCATAAGATGTGAAGGCAGCCATCATTAATTAAAGAAGATATTGGAAATACACGTTTACTAAAATTATTTTAGAAATATTATGTTAAGTCAGAGTGAAGATATTTATCTATAGTTAATAATTGGACAGTAAAAAATACAGGAACACTTGTCTTGGAAATTTTGATTTTTTTGAGCAGACTTTTTTCTTTAAATCAAATTATTACTTCAATCTTATTCAGGAGGTGACACTTAGACTTTTTTAGACACAGACAACTTTTATTGTCATACAAATTGTTTTGTACAGCTCTCATGACATTTCTATTTCTTAAAGTGCAGCAGTGATCAAATATATACATTGTGGGAGAAAAAACATGGTGCAAAAAAACGCATTGATGTGGAAGTTCTGGGCAATGTATATATATGGTGCAATTATGCAGTTTTTTGGTTTGGTGTTGTCAGTTTGATGCACAGTCTGTGACCTTATTTTTTTTAACAGTTCAGCGGTCTGATGGTGATGGGGGAGAAGCTGTTTCGGAATCTGCTTGAACTGCTGCACAACCTCTTCCCAGAGGGCAGCAGGGAGAACAGTCCACGGTGGGGGTGTGAGGGGTCATTAATGATGTTATGGGCTTGGGACATGCAGCGCTGGGATAAAATGTCTTTTATGGAGGGAAGAGGGGCCCAAATGATCTTCTCTGCAGTTATAACCACGCTTCTCAACAGTCTGCGGCGCAACAGTCTGCGGCAGAGGAGATGGCATCTTCAGTAGAGCTTTTTAATCGGTAGGCGTACTGGAAAGGGTCGAATGTTTGGGGGAGACTGGAGATGATGTGTTCTCTAACCAGTCTTTTGAAGCACTTCATCATGATGGGAGCCAGTGTGACAGGCAGGTAGTCATTGAATGAGGTGGCTTTTTTGGGACCGATGATGAAGACTTCGAGCATGCTGGCACTATGGATTGGCGCAGCAAGGTGTTAAAGATGTCTGTGCTGACACCAGCCAGCTGACCTGTACACTCCTTGTACACCCGCCCGGGTATGTTATCGGGGCCTGGGGCCTTTCTTGGGTTGACTCTCCTCAGAGTTTTCCTCACTTCAACTACATCCAGTTTGAGAACTTCCTCCCCCTTGCGTAGAACAGCTTTCACTGCTGAAGTGCTGTTTAGTGCCTCAAACCTTCCAAAGAAGGTGTTTAGTTCATTTAGGAAGTCAGCGTTTGCTGCATCTACCGGGTAGGAGGGTGTGTTGTATACTGTGATACAGTGTTGGGAAAGTTCTCTTTCTACGTGAACTAGTTCACACATTTTAAAATGAACTAGTTCAGTTCATAGTTCATAATTCAAAATTTTGAACTAAGTTCACAGTTCCAAAAAATGAACTAGTTCAGTTCTTTTTTTTTTCATATATTGCTCAATTACACCATAGCCTACTGTAGAACCACAGACAGCAATTATTTTATCAGTTGTAACACTGAAACTGTGCGTCAGATTTCATCTTCATATCCAGTTTTGAATCCTTATCCAACCAGGGTTTACATTAGCATTGAGGGGACAGCATTTCCCCATTGTTGCTTTAATGCTTTGTTGCTGTCCATTGACTTCACACTAGTAGCAGCTGCAGCTTTCACCCCTACAGTATATTCTCAAAAACATCAGGAAAAATGTGCTGCTTGAATGGTCTTTTTTATGAGGAATTGTTAAAAGAAAAACAGGAAAGTAGTCTTTAAGGTGCAAATGTTTTTTTTAATTTAATATTTTTTTCAATTTGAAATTCCATTTCAGTACATACTAAAAATGAATCCTGGAAAATTATACCAGGCAGATTTAACAAACAAGTTACATGAATAGTAAAACCCTCAAGAACATTTTACTAACACAAACTGAGGGACCAGGCTGAGGTAGGAATTTAAGGTTACTGAAGTGCGGATTTTTTTACTGAAAGCCAGCGGGCAAACTTGTTGCCATCATCCTCACCGACCACCTGGTCATAAAACTGTTTTAAGTGATCATACTGCTGCTTTGTCGCATCCACGGTCGTCTCCATGCTGCTGTGGTTTCCACGCTGCATTTTGTTTTGATGACGCACGCGGCTGTAGGCTACGACGCTGGTAGCTGGTGTTGCCAGATTGGGTGTTTTTCCCGCTACATATTAAGGCCTGTTTACAGTGTGATTTAGCCGGGGTTTCGCCTGGAGGACTCTATAGAAATCTGGCAACCTATTGAACGGAGTTGAACTGAGAGAGCGTGCCGTTCACAGACACCAGAATGAACGCGTTCACAATAACGTTCATCAGGCAGTAATGCAGTACGTTCAGTTCACGTTCGCCCAAAATATGAACGAGTTCATGAACTTTCGTTCAATGAACGCGTTCAGGCACAACACTGCTGTGATAACCCCTAGGCCTTGGCACATCCTCCTGGTGTTGCTGGCGTCATGGAAAAGGTCCTCGATTTTCTGGCTGTGCTTCTGCTTCACTGATCTGATGGCATCGTTCAAGTTGGCATAAGCTGTTCTCAGAACCTCTTTATCACCAGACTTGAAATGTGCTTTTAGCGATTTTGAACCTCCCCATTCATCCAGGGTCATTGGTTTTCTCGGGTGGTGATGTTATTTGTGATGCTGACGTCTTCGATGCATTTGTTGATGTAGGCTGACACAGTCATGGCATACTCATCTATATTTATTATGTTATCATAGGTTGCTGCAGCTTTGAAAATATTCCAATCAGAGCATTCAAAACAATCACACCACACTCTGATTTCTCTGACTGTCGGTTTAGCCCTGATTAGCTGGGGCCTGTATGCAGGAATTAACATGACAGGAAGGTGATCTGATAACCCAAGGTTGGGGCGGGGTGCTGCTCTAAATGCATCTTTGATGTTAGAGTAAACTAGGTCTAAAGTGTTTTCACCCCGCGCTGCAAAGTCCACATGTTGGTAGAAATGATGGAGAACAGTCTTCAAGTTAGCGTGGTTAAAATCCCCAACAATGATGAAAACACCAAATTGAAGCTCAGAGTTATAGCCTGATATAAATGGCTTGTACTTACAGGTGCTGGTCATAAAATTAGAATATCATGAAAAAGTAGATTGATTTCAGTAATTCCATTTAAAAAGTGAAACTTGTATATTATATTCATACATTACATACAAACTCATATATTTCAGATGTTTATTTTGTTTAATTTTGATGATTACAAATGACAACAAATGAAAATCTCAAATTCATCATATCAGAAAATTAGAATATTGTGAAAAGGTTCAAAATTGATGGCCCCTGGTGCCACACTCTAATCAGCTAATTAACTCAAACCACCTGCAAAAGCCTTTAAATGGTCTTTCAGTCTAGTTCTATAGGCTACACAATCATGGGGAAGACTGCTGACTTGACAGTTGTCCAAAAGACGACCATCGACACCTTGCACAAGGAGGGCAAGACACAAAAGGTCATCGCTAAAGAGGCTGGCTGTTCACAGAGCTCAGTGTCCAAGCACATTAATAGAGAGGCGAAGGGAAGGAAAAGATGTGGTCGAAAAAAGTGTACAAGCAAGAGAGATAACCGCACCCTGGAGAGGATTGTGAAACAAAACCCATTCAAAAATGTGGGGGAGATTCACAAAGAGTGGACTGCAGCTGGAGTGAGTGCTTCAAGAACCACCACACACAGACGTATGAAAGACATGGGTTTCTGCTGTCGCATTCCTTGTGTCAAGCCACTCTTGAACCACAGACAGCGTCAGAAGCGTCTTGCCTGGGCTAAAGAGAAACAGGACTGGACTGCTGGTGAGTGGTCCAAAGTCATGTTCTCTGATGAAAGTAAATTTTGCATTTCCTTTGGAAATCAAGGTCCCAGAGTCTGGAGGAAAAGAAGAGAGGCACTTCATCCACGTTGCTTGAAGTCCAGTGTAAAGTTTCCACAGTCAGTGATGGTTTGGGGTGCCATGTCATCTGCTGGTGTTGGTCCATTGTGTTTTCTGAGGTCCAGGGTCAACGCAGCCACATACCAGGAAGTTTTAGAGCACTTCATGCTTCCTGCAGCTGACCAACTTTTTGGAGATGCAGATTTCATTTTCCAACAGGACTTGGCACCTGCACACAGTGCCAAAGCTACCAGTACCTGGTTGAAGGACCATGGTATCCCTGTTCTTAATTGGCCAGCAAACTCTCCTGACCTTAACCCCATAGAAAATCTATGGGGTATTGTGAAGAAGAAGATGCAATACACCAGACCCAACAATTCAGAAGAGCTAAAAGCCACTATTAGAGCAACCTGGGCTATCATAACACCTGAGCAGTGCCACAGACTGATCGACTCCATGCCACGCCGCATTGCTGCAGTAATACAGGCCAAAGGAGGCCCAACTAAATACTGAGTGCTGTACATGCTCATACTTTTCATGTTCATACTTTTCAGTTGGCCAACATTTCTATAAATCCTTTGTTTTTATTGGTCTTCAGTAATATTCTAATTTTCTGATATGATGAATTTGAGATTTTCATTTGTTGTCATTTGTAATCATCAAAATTAAACCAAATAAACATCTGAAATATATGAGTTTGTATGTAATGTATGAATATAATATACAAGTTTCACTTTTTAAATGGAATTACTGAAATCAATCTACTTTTTCATGATATTCTAATTTTATGACCAGCACCTGTATATAGTGGTTTTTCAAGTCAGGAGACTTGACCAAAGCACTTTACATTCAGTCATTCACCCATTCACACACACACTCACACACTGATGGTGGCAAGCTACATTGTAGCCACAGCTGCTCTGGGCCATCTGACAAAAGCGAGGCTGCCGTGCACTGGCGCCACCGGGCCGTCTGACCACCATCAGTAGACAATGCAGGTGAAGTGTCTTGCCCAAGGTCTGGAGAGCAGAAGCTGGCGACCAATAAAGACATTTTTAAACCAGCTGTTGTGAATGTACACACAGAGCCCACCACGTCTAGTCTTACAGCTTAGTTCTTTTCTATTACCCCTCCAGGCTAATAGCATTGTCCAATATCGATGAATGAAGCCAAGACTCGGTCAGAACAGAATCATGAATGATAGTTGTTAAGACTCACTGACACTCTTTGAAAGAGATTTAACCATAAAATGTAAGACTGCAAAAGAAGCTGGATGATCTCAAACTACTTTATTACACCCTGTTAAAAGAAAGTTGAGTTGAGCGAAAAAGGTGTGGAAAGAGAGCATGCTCCATTATGATCCACCACACTCAACACATTGGTTACAAAGTTTTTTTTCTCCATGTTAGCCACTCCACAACCAGAGCCATATTTGTCACAATTGTCCAACTTTGAGTAAGGAGAAAATTAATTGCTGTTTCTCAGTAAGACAGAGTCTCCGTTTTTGATTAAAGACCGCATTTCATTTGGTAATGCCGATCCTAATGTTGAAAAAGGTTTGAGAGGCTCACAATCTCTATTGTTTAAAATTTAAAGTGAAGTCAAATTATCACACAGACTTAACAAAGTCTGCTAAGTTGTTGGTTTTTTTCCCCACTGACTTACCTAAAGTCCAAATCTAACGCAGCGGTATTTTAGATCATTATTTTTGGGGTATGATGGTTTCATTTCCCAGCAGGACTCTGCACCTGCCCACTACTGTAAAATGTAACTGCAGTTTAGTGAAGTTTACACTGCTTCATTAGTCAGCAGACTTAACAGACCCGAGGCTCAGAGATATTCTACACCTTTATGTATTTATTTTTCTTTCAGTGGAACTGTCGTCACTGTCCAGAACCAGCTTTTGCTACAATTACAGATGAATATATTTTGAGGTATGTCTCATCCAGCTTTGCAGTGCAAAGATTAACATTTTCATAAATTTTTTGAATAGATTAAGCACAGTGAGATTAGTAATGGGAAAGCATCCCTGAAGGAATTTTTTCTATTGGCATTACAAAGTATGAAAGGACCTCTTTGTTGTTCTAAACCTAAGTTGTGGATTCCTGCAGCTCCTCTAATCAAAATGGGCCACTGGCATCTTATCTGATTAATACTCGCCTTGCTTGTAAGATTAAGTGTCATATATTAAGTTTGCAGTTATTTAATGTATGATAATTTGAACTGTGATTTTATTTTTAATTTTAGACTATTTATCATCTTAGTTTGCTTTTAAGTTTCCTAAAGCTTGAATAATTTTTCAGATATTTTTCGTTCAAATCCTCTAGTAAACTATCATAATTTGTTCTATGTGGTTATGGTCCAAAATCTGTTAGTCAGTCATATAATATCAAAGTAAGACAGTAAAAAAAACCTTATTTAGTTTTAACCACTTTTAAAAAGTGGTCTAAACATTTAATCAAGAATAAAATTCAGCATTTTAATGTGAATGTTAATGTTCACCTACTTTCTGAAGCACCTTCATTTTGTGTGAGGTCTTGATGGGGCTGAAGACTATAAGGTAACTTTTATTAAAAAGTAACTAATCTTTGTCTGGGATGTAAAAATCTGAGTAAACAAAATAAGATTTTAAACAAATGTAATTTTGATAAATAAATAAAAAGTCTTCAAGCAAGATTTGAATGCTTTTCTTGTCAGGAGATCATGTAATAACTAGATTAAAAAGAGCAATAGGAAAACTATTTCTGTAGTACATCAGCAGTTGTTATACAAAACTTGCGTATTACTGTGCCGCTTTAAATCATTCAGATTGTTTTACATTTGGGAACTACTCAGTTCCACAAGGAACAAGGTAAGTTTTGTTGTTCTCGAGAACTGTAAGCTGTACAGGGAGATTTTACTACATTACTATATAAACCTAAAAGCTTAAATGTCCTCTACAGGTTCCTCTGCACCAGATATGGATGACTCGAGCAACATAACGTTTGACTATGACAATGACTATGAGGATGAAGTTTGTGAAAAACGTGAAGTGGTCAAATTTGGGTCCATCGCCATTCCTATTTTCTTCTCTATTGTCTTCTCTCTGAGTCTTACTGGAAACATCCTGGTCCTCATCATCCTGGCTTTGTATGAAAACCTGAAATCTCTGACCAACATCTTCATCTTCAACCTGGCCATCTCTGACCTCGTCTTCACTATCGGCCTCCCCTTCTGGGCCATCTACCACATCTGGGGATGGGTGTTTTCAGAGTATGTGTGCAAGATTGTGAAGTTTGTCTTTTTTACTGGGTTTTATAGTAGCGTCCTTTTCCTGACCGTCATGACCATTTATAGGTATTTGGTTGTGGTCTATCCTCTCTCTGGCATAACTACTATGAAATTTTGGACTGGGTTTTTCCTGTCTGTCCTCACATGGATCATTAGTATTGGAGCAGCTATGCCATCCCTGCTCCAGACAGCCATTGTCAAAATCCATCACGAAGAATCAGACTCCTTGGGCTGTGAATATAAGACCGTCGAATGGAAAATCATTGGGATGTCTCAGCAGAATGTCTTCTTCCTGGCTGCGTTTGCAGTGATGGCTTTCTGCTACATTCAGATATTAAGGAGAATCACAAGAACAAGGTCCCACACTAAGAACAGAGCTGTGAAGTTAGTTTTCTGCATCGTGGCTGTCTTTTTTGTGGGCTGGGTGCCCTACAACCTGGTCATCTTTTTGAGAGCCTTATCACACAAAGCACATTACCCTTTTAATGACTGTACAGTGAGCATTCAGCTTGACTATGCTTTCCAAGTGTGTCGGTTCATTGCTTTCTCTCACTGCTGCTTGAACCCTGTCTTTTATGCATTTGTTGGTGTGAAGTTCAGGAACCATTTGAAGTCACTGCTGCATCGAATGTTTAGGCGCCCGAGTCCAGTGAAAGATCAAGATGCCAACAGGCTGAATCTCGCTTCACGAGGATCAATGTACTAGATGCAAATATACATTTTCCTATTTTTATGCCTCAACGTTTATAATTTGCTGATACATGGTTGTGTAAAAATTAATGGAGGTACTTTATATGAGACATTTTTAAACATGCTGCTATAGCTACAAAGTTAGATATTTGTACTCACTATTTATACACAGTGTGAGGCAACAAGAGAACATTGTATGATTTGTTGTAGTATAAGGAATAGAGGCAATCTGGTGTCAGCCATCTTTCATTAACTCCCTTAGGGGTTTAGATTAGGCCAGTTTGTTGACTAAATGTACAGTAGGACAGTAATATTTCATTATTTGATAGATAAGAGCCCTGATGAAAAATAAAACCAGCAACTCTATAAGGCCTGCCAGCAGAGGGAAGCATGACTAAAACCCAAAAAACACCTTGAATCTTTTGACTGTTAACTCTTCACCTTAAGCCCCTCTCACATCTTGACGATTTAGCCAGCGTATGCTGAAGGGGGAAAAGGGGGGGTGACAGCCTAGTGGTTAGGGCATAGACCCAGAGGTGGCAAGTAACGATTACAAATACTTTGTTACTGTACTTAAGTACACTTTTTAGGTATCTATACTTTACTCCATTACTTATTTTTCTTCCTACTTCTGACTTATACTAAAAACCTTTTCACACCAGTATCTGTACTTTCTATTCCTTACATTTTTAAAAGCATGTTGAAATGTCTGAAAGGTCGGACACAGGCGAGAGCGTATCTCGGCCCTATCTCGAAGCATTTTTCGAAATTGAGCTTTTGATTCCTATAGTGGCATCTGGCTGTTTATTTTATTTTATACTTTAAGTATGAAAGTATAAAGTAACTCCCACAGACTGCCACACTGGATCTTCTAAAACACTGGCAGATGCCGAACTTCCTATATAATTTTTCAATTTTGGGTGCATCATAGAGTATTCATAATGAGTCCAGAATTTATCTCCAGCAACAGCCTATCTTATGCATAACAGACGGCAGCGTAATGCCTATGAAATGATGCACAAAGGAGTGTCCTGAGGGGGACAGCAATACACACGGTGGCACCTGGTCTGCATAAAAAGCACAAGAAGAAGATTCCACTAAATGCCATTATACAGTAGCTGTAAATTAGAAACTTGTTCAGCGGTCGTCTGGAACACATCAAATACTTTGATATGCATTGGAGATAAGTTATGCATAAGTTATGCATAAGTTATACACAAGTTACTCATAGATTTTGGATAAGCTAGACACCATGACTTATGGGTAACTTAAACTTAACGTATGTTAACAATCAAATAACTTACCTGTAACTTATGCCCCACGTATGGCATACACTGGCATACGTCAAGACTTGTGCTCAACATACAGTACTTGCCGTATGTCGACATGATTCAGCGTGTTTCAGCGTGCTCCACTTATACAAAACTGCCCCATAGCATACCAACATATGCCAATGTTTTTGCCAGATTTTTCGTACATCAGGCTGGCTAAATCAAGATGTGACAGGGGATTCATTTTCCAATTGAAATAAAAACAATGAAACAGTCCTTGCATCATCCAGGCTCCATTCATCTATCCTTGCATCCTTGGAGTGGCTTAATTAAAGTAATGTCTCCAAATCTTGTGAATCTCCAAAAACTCTTGAATAGAATTTGCTCCACAATCCTTTGAAGGCATCAGTTATTATAGATACATGTATACATTCTTCTAATATACTTTTTCACTAAATTATTTAGTTTATTTGGATACAGCCCTCTCTGCACAAAATGCTTCTTTAACAATGACTTTTAGTGGCTTACCGTGCATTTATTCAGCAGTCTTTCCTAAGTACGTGTAGGTTATAAAATACAGGATGTGTAAAAAAAAATACATTTTATTTAAACACTTGTCTGATGTATTTTCTATTTTTTTTAAGAAGCTGAATATTGAGGTTTAGCAATAATAATCAAAGCCATAACCATAGAACATAATTTGTGTAATTAGTCTATAATACATGTTTTACTCTGGGCTGAATTACTGAAATAAATTAACATTTTCTACATGATTCTAGTTTGTTGAATTTCTTTAGTTGTTTTTATAATGGTAGCATGTTAAAAGAAAATTAAACTGCTCTTTTCTATTCTGGTAACAAGGATGAGACTAATAAACAATATACTTAGTAGTGTACCAAACATTTTTAGTAGTAGGGTCCAAACATTGGCAAAGACTCAAGTTTTCTAACTTAATAATCACATAACTCATAAATAGCATGTAACATCATTACATGTTGTGATGAACCTGCAGATTTCAGATTTATAAAAAATGAATATACTGACTTATAATTCTATATGAACATAAAAATGTAGATTATTAAAAAAATTATTTGTAGATTGTAGATTATTCCTCTCTATAAGGGATTGCTGCAAAGTTATTTATTGGATGCAATCAACTTGGTTTCCTTAGAAAGAAAACATTTTTAAAGCTCAAAACAAGGAAACCCTGAGTACACTTCAAACTGAAACACAATATGTTTAACCAGCATGTCTCTTTTCACAGCCATTTACAGTAACAGCACATTTCCTTACAGTGTAAACACTGTGCCATCTTCTGCTGGCTTAAAGCATTACATCCACACAGCCAAAGCTAAATAGAACAAAAATGTTCATGTGAAACCAAATGATTAGACCATTTGTCTTTAACCTTTTGCACTTGCAAAATGCAGATATGTTTTTACAATTTAGCAGGAGATGATGCTCATATTGAATGTTGTTAAAGAAAAATTATTATTTTTAGTTTTTAATACAGTTAATCTTATGGCATGTGTAAAAGGTATGTCTCATTTTGAACATATTTCTTAATTTTGAACAAGTTTGTGAAGATAACCTTTCCTTGAATCAAATTACTGAATTTAAGTTTGTTCCTGAGAATTTATGGCAGGAAGAGGCCCCCGCATTCCACAGCTATTCTGTGAGGTCTTATCTTATGTTTTCTTCAGCCAGAAGACCTTAGAATTCCTGGAGGCCAGGCTGTAAATTAGGGGAAGTTCTAGGTTTTTCTGAGTGTCCAAGATAGCTCCTGGTTGGAGGAGCAAAAGCCAGCCTTATTTGAATAAATTAAATACAAGAGGTTAAAACTTTCTACACAGAAGTAACAAATCAGATTTGCTCTTGCAACTCTCCAAAGATGTCTTTGTACGTCTTTGCTTTCTTTCCTTCTCTCCATTTATGTCAGGTAATTGAATGTATGTCTCCGTTGTTCTGCAGTTTTTGCTGTAAGTTTGTGCATTGTCTTATTTCTAAGTTTATGCATTGTCTTATATTGGATTAAACTCTGTAATTCTGTGACTTCAACACGCATTGCTGGTTTTCCTTGGGGCCACACGCAGCTCGCCGGGAGGGCCGGGAACCAGAGGAAGAGAGACAGCCAACTTTTTCCAAAGTTAACCATTGTAGAATAATTTCTTCCTTAACTAAGTATTTGTCTTTTATACATAAATACTGTCTGCAATTTGTGGGGGGGGGGGGGGGGGGGGGGGGGGGGGGGGGCTCCATCACAAGAAGGTTTGTTTCCATTCATTTGCTTTATTGTCTTTCCATCATTAAATGGTGGCCAGTTCTGCTTTCTTTCTTTTTTGGCATTTATAAAATTATATGGCAAACTAAAAACTTTGCCTTTCAATAGAAAAATATGACGTTTGTTCAAGTTACTCCTGAAGTGCCAGCTATTCTTATTCAGTTATTATTATATTTAGTTATTTTTCTGTGATGCAGACCTAAGGATTTTTAGTGAAGTGATAAGGAAGATTAACATTTAATCTGTTTTTTTGTTTTTCTATTACCTCATAAAACATTAAAATATGATGAGACGATTATTGAGACTTTTTTTATTCATATATTTTTTTGCTTTTCTTTTACAAAGATTAATGTCAGAGATGACTTCCTTAGCTTCCTTCTTGAAACATGCCTGTGCGTATTCATGGAAACCACAAACACTGGTTTATATCAGAGGCTAGACTTTCAGTGCCACAAACCAGATTTTGTACCTACATTGTCTATTGGACCTGTCAAAGTATGTTTGTAGATAGAGTAAACAAGGAACAAACTTTATCATTTTTCCAACCTGTAAAATGATAAATGGTTATCTTTTATTCCCAGTTAATAATTAATTTAAATCACTCTAACTTAGGGTAGGTTTTATGGTTCTTTCCGGGTTCCTTAACAGTCTGTTGTTGCACAGCTTTACAGCTCACACAGCTTCCTGACTGTCTTGGAAGAAGGACTGGTTTTTTACCTGACAATCCTCAAATATTTTCTGCATTTAAAAAAAATTGTGGTATGTTTTTTAGTATAATTGAATTTTGATAAAAATCTGTGTCCTTTTTGTGAAACTTTGTTGTGTTGTTATGATTACAATATTGTTTTATTTGGAAGAGAGTCTGTCAGTTTTTGTAAGCATTAAACATAAATTTGGAAATATAAATGTTTAAACATATAAAATAACTTTTACATTTGTCTGTACATCATTGTTAATTAGGCTGTCAGTGAATTATAGGTCTACCACATTTTGATTATTTTATTTTTTTTCTAGATGTGGTTACGTTTTTTTCTCGGCTTTAACTTCATCTGCAAGTTGCATAGTTGGTCAAATGGTATTTTCCCAGAGGTGTGTGATTCAATGAGACCACTGCATGGCGATGGTGATACAGAGAATCCTCCTCTGACATCTGAACCCCCCTTTATGGTTAGCTACCAGCTCGGCAGTAATGTTGGAGACCCGGTAACAGGTAAACAAAGAGTGTTGTGAGAGTGTGTTTTGTATGCATATTTTTGTATAATATATTGATTATACAGAGTTAAGCATATAGTTAACATTTCACTTCCCTTGATATCAGTTTTTATCCTGATAACCATGACCAATACCAGATAATACAGAATTGCACAGTGAAAGGAAAATAATATGTACTTTCTGTCATGATAGGTCTCTAGTGTATAAACCCACATGCAGAACACCACATGAAACGGGGTAAAAGTTAAACAGTTTATTGAGAGAGAAGCACACAGAATAATTATGAGCTGGTTCAGATACTGGTCCGGGACTGGAATCACAGAGGATCTGCAGAGATGGATTGTTTGGTTAGCCAGGCAGCGGTGATGATTTGTTTGGTGTTGATTCTGGTTTACAGGTGCTGGTCATAAAATTAGAATATCATGAAAAAGTAGATTGATTTCAGTAATTCCATTTAAAAAGTGAAACTTGTATATTATATTCATACATTACATACAAACTCATATATTTCAGATGTTTATTTTGTTTAATTTTGATGATTACAAATGACAACAAATGAAAATCTCAAATTCATCATCAGAAAATTAGAATATTACTGAAGACCAATAAAAACAAAGGATTTATAGAAATGTTGGCCAACTGAAAAGTATGAACATGAAAAGTATGAGCATGTACAGCACTCAGTATTTAGTTGGGCCTCCTTTGGCCTGTATTACTGCAGCAATGCGGCGTGGCATGGAGTCGATCAGTCTGTGGCACTGCTCAGGTGTTATGATAGCCCAGGTTGCTCCAATAGTGGCTTTTAGCTCTTCTGAATTGTTGGGTCTGGTGTATTGCATCTTCTTCTTCACAATACCCCATAGATTTTCTATGGGGTTAAGGTCAGGAGAGTTTGCTGGCCAATTAAGAACAGGGATACCATGGTCCTTCAACCAGGTACTGGTAGCTTTGGCACTGTGTGCAGGTGCCAAGTCCTGTTGGAAAATGAAATCTGCATCTCCAAAAAGTTGGTCAGCTGCAGGAAGCATGAAGTGCTCTAAAACTTCCTGGTATGTGGCTGCGTTGACCCTGGACCTCAGAAAACACAATGGACCAACACCAGCAGATGACATGGCACCCCAAACCATCACTGACTGTGGAAACTTTACACTGGACTTCAAGCAACGTGGATGAAGTGCCTCTCTTCTTTTCCTCCAGACTCTGGGACCTTGATTTCCAAAGGAAATGCAAAATTTACTTTCATCAGAGAACATGACTTTGGACCACTCACCAGCAGTCCAGTCCTGTTTCTCTTTAGCCCAGGCAAGACGCTTCTGACGCTGTCTGTGGTTCAAGAGTGGCTTGACACAAGGAATGCGACAGCAGAAACCCATGTCTTTCATACGTCTGTGTGTGGTGGTTCTTGAAGCACTCACTCCAGCTGCAGTCCACTCTTTGTGAATCTCCCCCACATTTTTGAATGGGTTTTGTTTCACAATCCTCTCCAGGGTGCGGTTATCTCTCTTGCTTGTACACTTTTTTCGACCACATCTTTTCCTTCCCTTCGCCTCTCTATTAATGTGCTTGGACACTGAGCTCTGTGAACAGCCAGCCTCTTTAGCGATGACCTTTTGTGTCTTGCCCTCCTTGTGCAAGGTGTCGATGGTCGTCTTTTGGACAACTGTCAAGTCAGCAGTCTTCCCCATGATTGTGTAGCCTATAGAACTAGACTGAAAGACCATTTAAAGGCTTTTGCAGGTGGTTTGAGTTAATTAGCTGATTAGAGTGTGGCACCAGGGGCCATCAATTTTGAACCTTTTCACAATATTCTAATTTTCTGATATGATGAATTTGAGATTTTCATTTGTTGTCATTTGTAATCATCAAAATTAAACAAAATAAACATCTGAAATATATGAGTTTGTATGTAATGTATGAATATAATATACAAGTTTCACTTTTTAAATGGAATTACTGAAATCAATCTACTTTTTCATGATATTCTAATTTTATGACCAGCACCTGTATACCTTGATGAAGTTCAGACAGATCGTTGGAGAGGGGGAACAGATTGGGTCCAAAGACAGTGGGTTCAGCAGAGAGCACAGCAGCAGCATCTAGCTTCAGGCTAGAGAAGTTCAGACCTTGATAAGATGTTCCAGCTCTCCCTTGAGAGCTGGCTGAGGAATCCAGACTGATTATCTTCAGGTTTGGCTTCCAAGGGCAGGCAGGCAGGTTTCCAAGCTAGCTCCTCCAGAGCTACAGACTTCAGTCAGACTTTCCAAAACTGGTCAACACTCCGGCAAAGAAGACAGGTCTGGCTGCTGCTTATGTAGGAGGTCTCCTGATGGGCTGATGATCCCCAGGTGTGCTGGAGGCTCCAGCTCAGGAGACCCACAGCGCTCTCTGCTGGAGACAGGTGGCAGATCTCCAGATCCAAACACTTTCTTTATAAAAATAAGACATGTCTGTATTTAAGACATGTCTGTATTTAGGTAGTCATTAGCAAACAACTTTTAAAGTCTTTGAGGGTATTGTGTTATCATCACTTTTAGAATAAATAAGGTGTGATTATTGATTAAATTAAATTTAATCTATTCGTGGCCAAGAATGTTACGCAAAAGGAGTGATACTTTATCATAGTTTTACTCAATAACAAAATGAAAAGTACAATGCTGTAAAGCTACTCCTGAAAGTACTTTTTTTAAAAGTTACTCAAGAAAATGTAACTGAGTAAATGTAACTAGTTACTACCCATTTCTGCCTCCACACATTATAGAAGGTTGTTGTTTCGATGTAGCAAAATGTGAACAAGTTCAAGGAATATGAATGTTTTCGCTCTGCCTGTACATCTTTCTTTAAATATTGACAATCTTTCCTCATTATTTCTTCGTGATAAATCTGAATTCACAGTTTCCCTCCAGAGCAAAACAGACGCCAAATTCAGGGGATTTATGCTTGAAGCTCGTAGCCTGACTTCAGGTGGTGATGGCCCCCCACTTGGGAAATTCATCCTTCTTGAAGCTACACAAACCCGACTCCTGAAATGTGGCACTTTAGTGGTAAGCTGGGCCAGGTCATACTGATACTTATATGATTCATCAACCATATCTTTGTTGGTCTACTTAAGGAAATGCTTCACCTTCAAGTGATAATTTTTTTCTTTAATGTTTGTCACTCTCTTCAGGACTCAGCTGTGAGTAATAAACTCAATGTTAGGAAGAGTTTGATCAGGGTAAACTGGACCAGAGAGGGAGAGGAGGGAGACATCATGTTCAGGTAACCTTTAAACAAATCTACTGTTTAGAGTAAAAGCTGCAATGGTCAGTTACAATCCAATGCTGTGTCCTATAGGGCCACTTTTCTTCAAGAATTTTACAGCTACTGGGAACGTGTGAACATAACACTACCTGGACCCACGTCTACACAAAAACCAGAGCCAACAACTGTGATAACAACAGCTACACCCACAACCCAGATGTCTACAGCAAAACCCGGGACTACAACAACAGCTACACCCACAACCCAGATGTCTACAGCAGAACCTGGGACTACAACAACAGCTACACCCACAACCCAAATGTCTACAGCAGAACCTGGCACTACAACAACAGCTAAACTTCCACGATCTAGAAGCTCTGTAACGAAACAACCTCTACATCATTTCATAAGTAGAACCAGGATAAATTTGATTTTCAAACATTCTGCTTTCTTTTTTTTTTTACTTTAGATCAAGGACCTAATCATGGGGAATTCAATTGTTGTTTTTGTGGAGTGGAAAATGGTAAATTACCTATTGAATGTAACACCATTCATTCATGCCATGGCGTTAACCTGAAGAAACGTATTAATTAACAAAATATTCAAGTGGCTACTCATTGTTTCTCATCAGGAATTATGCAATATAATAATGGCTTTACTGCCGACATGCTTCGGACATTTCCTAATTAAGGTAAGGCGTGAATTGGTCAATTTTTGCTGTCAGCTGTTTCTGTTTATAGATATATTAGATGTGCTACACATTTTTCATGATTTTACCTTCAAATATTTGTTTGTGTCCTTAAAGTGACCTTAAGGACTAGTGTTGCACCGATACCGATACCAGTATCGGACGGGGCACCGATACTGCCCTAAAATGGTGGTATCAAAGGACACTCTTTTGAATCAGGGACCAAGAAGACAGATAGTTTGAAAGTGGTGTAAAGAAAGCCATTTATGTTAAGAGAGAAAAACCAACCTTAAACAGAGGAGGAGGACTCAGGTTTCAGCTCTCAAAAACCCTGCGTTAGAGTTGATTCTTTCTATTATCATCTCAATCCTCATCGCCATGCAGGTGATCAAAACGTTGACCCGGTAAACCAGGCCAACAACGACACTAATAACTCCCCATTACAGAGGCATGGGCCAGTTTCGGTTTAATTTGCAGGCCAACAATGAACTTAATGACTACTCATTACAGAGGGGTGGACCTGTTTTTGTTTAATTTGCATGTTTTTTAAGCCATAACAAGGCTTTTGTTGGGCAATTCTATAAAGCCTGGAGCTCCATATTACTCCAAACATTTTGAAGCTTTCTTGATGGGAAGCTAAACGTCTTCAAAATTGGAAAAAAAAAAGTCCTGTGGTTTTGTTTTTAACTTTTCTGGCATGACTATGACCTGGATGAGTGGGAATTTTCACCAGAAAACAGAGCAATATTCATTTTATATATCAGCAAGAATTTGATAACCAAATTGAGTAGAATTAAAACTGTTTGCAGCCCATCTTAGAATTAACCTAATGTTAATGTTTTGATATAGACTTATAACTCCAGTGGAGCGGATGATAAAAATGATTAGGAAAGCTTATTGTTGTTGCTGCACCAAAGGGTATGACGCCATTAATTATTATTTGACCAACTCTTGAGGGAGTATGGAGGACCAACTCTGCCATATTTAAAAATAAATACATAAATAAATAAATGCTCATAAGTTGATCCACTAAGACACACCCCTTCTTCATTTGCATAGGGAGGCAGAAATGCATAAAAACATGTTTAAAAAAACTGAATAGCTTTGAAGAAATACATTAATAAATAGTTAAAAAAATAAGTAATAAATAAATAAAGTCGAAGATTATAATGGACAATAAATTAATAAGGTAATCCTTACAAAGGAGAATAAAGAAGCTAATTGAAAGAGATATATACATTTATGTCTCACTGTATAATTTAATTTCTACCTATATTTATTTGTTGATTGTATTTTGGGGGCAATTAATTGTATGCTTATTTATTTATTTATTGAGCATTTATTTATTTATGTATTTATCTTTAAATATGGCAGAGTTGGTCCTCCATAGCAGAGATCATCATCAGGTTTTAAATTTGACTGGATTCTTTCTGTTCTGTCCCCGTATCTAATTGGTCAACCATAATTCCTGACTTCAAATCATAGACCATATATAAGAGGTTGCAGTAGAAAGGCAACAAATAAGAGGGGTTTTCCCACCTCCCATACTATTTAAAGCCAGAAATGTAGGAGGATGGAAAGCAGAAGAAGCTAAAGAAAATTCACTTTTATTGGAGCTGCTTTCAGGTCTCATGTTTGTGATCTTCTTAGAAAGACAGAAAAATTAAAAATAAATTATGACTTTAGAGAAAATGGAATCATTAATTAAAGCTTTCTCAATCATAGAAATAGGATGGCTAAAATACGTTTTATCTGTATACAGCAGATTGGATCCAGATCTCCATTAGAGCAAGTTATGTCAAGGATTTTCACACATTTATCTCAAAACTATGTATTAGCAAAGTTATTTTGATATTTTGCTATATAAAATCTGTTTATTTCTGTTTTTGTAGATCACCAGGACTGTGGGTAGCTTGTGTTCCTTTTCACTTTCTTTGACATTGACATTCATTTTGAAATGGGGATCCGTTGAAGTAAGTACTAATAATTTATATAAGTAATAAAATGTAAGTACTTTTTAAACCAATAACAGCTTTTTTTCTGTACAAATATTTCAGGGGGTTTTCATTGGTCTTATAAGTGCAATATTGGTGATTGGTTTTATAAACTTGGTGATTGTTCTGCTGCCATTTGGACCCAGCCATGAGCTGTGAGTTAAAGTCGTCTTTGTAAGTTTTTATAATGTGAATGCACCGGCTAATGGGTTTCTGTTCCATTTCTTTGATTAAGCAATGGACATTGTGACCTTGTTCTTCGGTTGTGTTTTGCACTGTACCACCTTTTGACAAGTAAGTTGACTCATTGAATTTAAAATGTTGTGTATGAACCACACTTATGATCAAAATAAATAATAAATGTTTAAAGGCTTTGTATTTAAAGTTAGAAATTTAAGTTAGATTTATCATTTACCAGCACAGAGCAGCAGTACACTCAAATCCCTGTAAAAAATGGTCATAAATGAATCACATCACCCTTCAAATATTTGGTTTTGTGTTAAAAACTGTGTAAAACTAACACAACAACATAATTGATCATGTGTAGCCCGCTGGTTTAGTTCTACATATTGACAATCTGTAGGACAGATGCTGACTAATGCAATACTAAAAAATAAAAGAAAGATCATAGATGAAATAAGAGAGCTGATGAGAGTCATGCAAAATACTAGTGATGGCATGCAAGATACGTGTCCTGTCCTGAGTGAGATTTATAACACATAAAAAAAAAAAGAACCAGTAAAACAGCCCTAATGGTGCGGACGTTGTTAACTCTTCCTGTGCTCACCAAGCAACCAGCCATCCTGTTCCTCCACAGTGTAGGGAAATCTCTATCAACTAGTCATATTAACAAAGCCATCAAGGTGCCAGATCTATGGATGATTTTCACATAGCTATATGGTACAAAAAGAGGAACAGTCAGTGGGTTCAGTATTGTTTAGAACACGCCTGTCTGCTAATTCTGGTTGCCAGGAATCCTAGAGTGGTTCACACCTCGATTTGGACCTGGATGCTCTCCAATTCCATTATAAAGCGCTTTATAAGCCTGTCATCCTTGTGGGCCCAAAGGTCATGATGGTCCCACCTAATTTTTTTTCATTTTCAGCATTCTCTACCAGCTGTAGAGAATCTGTGGTGAGATGTTATGCATGGATGTCACATCGTTTTCTTTTTTACTTTTTGCAGGAATTACAGTAGTGTGAATACCTTACACCTTGTCACAATTTATATTATAATATTTGGTCAACCTCACCCTTTTAATCAATGGGGGTAGGTAGGAACAAAGACACACAGAGTCCTCATTGCTTCAGCTCCAGTTTCCACAATCGTTTTGGGAGCCATTTTGAAGTTGGTTCCCCATCTTCATTGCTTTAAGCTTCAGATTTACAAACTGTAAAGCAAAGTAGCAATGCATTTTACCTATACATAATCATAATGGTGATTTTTGCCAATTAATTTTTCTGTTTTAATTTCCAAATTTCTACACACAGATTGTTTTCTCCATGTCAAAGTCTACTACCTGACTGAGGAATGGAAAGAAACTGGGAGAAAGATTTGGCTTCTGTACACACTAATTGTTCAGACAGTGTTAATTATCCTTGCAATTGTTTGGAATTTTGTTTTATATTGCAACAAAAGAACATTACTACATAAAGTAAGACGTAATTAAATTTTCTTTCTCTAAAAATGTAAGTAATACACTGAATATAAAATATACTGTGAAATCACATCAAAACACTTATCTTTTAATACATCCTCTGTCACAGCTAAGGGCATAAATGGGGATCATCAAGGAATTAAGGTAAAACTGCTTGTGATCAAATATACGTTTTTAGTATTAATAAAAAAAAAACAATCCTAAGAAATATTGCAACACAGTATTAATTTGGTTATGTCTGTTTCTGTGTTTCAGAAGTTTCTTCGTACATGTACAGTGCCTTTCATCTCCCTATTCTTCCTTGTTGGAATCACATCCATTTCATTATGGAATATTGTTAAACTATATGACATGCAAGATGATTAATGGATATTATAGTGACTATGATAATTCTTCCCACCCTGACAGTGCCTAAAGCAAGGCTTAAGCTCAGAGGGGATCGAGCGTTTTCTGTTGCAGCTCCAAAACTTTGGAATGCATTGCCGCTGCACATTAGACAGGCCACCTCTCTGTCTCATTTTAAAACTCTTCTTAAAACACACCTCTTTTCTTTGGCTTTTAACACCATGTAGAGTGTTGATTTTATGTACACATGTTGATTTTATGTATACACATGCATATTTTTATCCTGTGTGGGCAGTGCTTTTATTTTATTTTATTTACTTTTATTTATTTTAGTTATTTTATCTTTTTGTGCAGCACTTTGGAAACCTTGTGTTTATTTAAACCGTGCTATATAAATAAAGTGGATTGGATTGGATTGGATAGAGATATGTGGAAAAAACTACTAGTAGCTTTGTTAAAAACTTCTAAAAGTCAGATCAATGTTTGTTTTGTTTCTAATTAAATAAAGCATATTTATTCAAAAAATACAGTATTTCTTTGTTAATGCTGTATCTATGTATGAGATCTGTATGTGTGCTTGATGATTCACGCAATCATTAACCCGGGCTGGCACAGAATGAACAATTTTTTAAACATTACTTCAACTTCCTAATTTCATATTTCTGCAAGAAGTTTTACATGCTCAGGAGGAGGGTGGTTTTGTAGTCGTGTTGCTATGAAAACAAATAAATCAAAAGAGAACATTTTCCAATGCTTCTATCTTGTGATAAAGTCCAATGGTCCCTCCTTGCATGTGATTCTTTGTAAATGATTGATCAGTGCTGTGTCATAAAGCTCTCATTTTCTGGTTTCAAAGTTTAACCATTTCCCTGTGTTGGCTATTATTAAAAATAATAATAATTCTATGATCTTCCATTCTGGACTTTTTTTATGTTTAGGTTTTTATTTTGGGTTCTCAGCTGTGCTTTATTTTATGTTATTCTTTTTTTTCTGTCAAGATTTATGTCATTTTTTAATTCTCAGTTTTACTTTTCCTTGTTATTTATGTCAGTTGTCTTTTTTCAGCATTTTTTGTATTATGTATTACTTGGTCTAGTTTTAGTTATAGTTAGGATTTCTCTTAACTTTAGGTTATGTTCTCCATGGCTTCATAGTTATCTTAAAGGTATATTGGAGGATTTTCTTTTTCCAGATGGATCATCAAAATAAGTGGTCCTCCTAATTGTCAATCATTCTGGTGATATATTTACGAAATGCCGTCCCAGGTGCTCGTCCCCATTTCCACTTACCGGTGTTGAAGCTGACATAGCGGAAAAATTGCAAATCCTCTTTTGGAAAGTAAGATTGTAAGAACGATGCCAAAGGAGAAATGGACTAACCCTTTCTTGCATGATGCCATAAGTACACTATATTGCCAAAAGTATTTGCTCACCTGCCTTGACTCACATATGAGCTTAAGTGACATCCCGTTCCTAATCCATAGGGTTCAATATGACGTCGGTCCACCCTTTGCAGCTAGAACAGCTTCAACTCTTCTGGGAAGGCTGTCCACAAGGTTTAGGAGTGTGTTTATGGGAATTTTTGACCATTCTTCCAGAAGCGCATTTGTGAGGTCGCACACTGATGTTGGACGAGAAGGCCTGGCTCTCAGTCTCCGCTCTAATTCATCCCAAAGGTGTTCTATCGGGTTGAGGTCAGGACTCTGTGCAGGCCAGTCAAGTTCATCCACACCAGACTCTGTCATCCATGTCTTTATGGACCTTGCTTTGTGCACTGGTGCACAGTCATGTTGGAAGAGGAAGGGGCCAGCTCCAAACTGTTCCCACAAAGTTGGGAGCATGGAATTGTCCAAAATGTCTTGGTATGCTGAAGCATTCAGAGTTCCTTTCACTGGAACTAAGGGGCCAAGCCCAGCTCCTGAAAAACAACCTCACACCATAATCCCCCCTCCACCAAACTTTACACTTGGCACAATGCAGTCAGACAAGTACCGTTCTCCTGGCAACCGCCAAACCCAGACCCGTCCATCAGATTGCCAGATGGAGAAGCGCGATTCGTCACTCCAGAGAACGCGTCTCCACTGCTCTAGAGTCCAGTGGCGGCGTGCTTTACACCACCGCATCCGACGCTTTGCATTGCACTTGGTGATGTATGGCTTGGATGCAGCTGCTCGACCATGGAAACCCATTCCGTGAAGCTCTCTGCGCACTGTTCTTGAGCTAATCTGAAGGCCACATGAAGTTTGGAGGTCTGTAGTGATTGACTCTGCAGAAAGTTGGCGACCTCTTCGCACTATGCGCGTCAGCATCCGCTGACCCCGCTCCGTCAGTTTACGTGGCCTACCACTTCGTGGCTGAGTTGCTGTCGTTCCCAAACACTTCCATTTTCTTATAATACAGCTGACAGTTGACTGTGGAATATTTAGGAGCGAGGAAATTTCACGACTGGATTTGTTGCACAGGTGGCATCCTATCACAGTTCCACGCTGGAATTCACTGAGCTCCTGAGAGCGACCCATTCTTTCACAAATGTTTGTAAAAACAGTCTGCATGCCTAGGTGCTTGAATTTATACACCTGTGGCCATGGAAGTGATTGGAACACCTGATTCCAATAATTTGGATGGGTGAGCAAATACTTTTGGCAATATAGTGTATTTTCAACAACCGTGTTCATTAAAATAGATTCACATGAACTAATTATACTTGCAACTATACAAAGACATTGCTGAATTGCTGAATTGCTTGCAAGATGTCACCATCATGTTGTGTCGTAATGCCACTAAAAATTTATCCTGAAGTCCTGTGGTCTATTTCGGTGCAAAGGATACATAATCCTTGATTATGTTGTGACATTAATTCAAACACAACTGCAGATGACTCACCTGAACGGATATAGATGAATGTTTACAAAATGTCTGGAAAATGGATTAAAGGTTAAAAAATAAAAGAGGTCCATTTGATATGAGAAAGTATTTGGTGCGCACGAGAAACTAAGTGGTGCGCATGAGAATTTTTTTCTCTCTCTTCAGTGTCCTTAAGGGGCTCAGTGGTTTTATTCCCATTTAGCTGCATTTAAGTTATTTTCTAGTTACAGTTGAACCCTGTTGTTTTCCATGGTTACTCTTTGTTGCCCCCTAGTGCTCCTTTCTAGCTGCTACTGTCCACACCTGCTCCCAATTAACTGCGTACTCAATTCATTGTCTCCCATACTCCTCTTCTGCAGTTCCTCAGCGCTGGATTCTCCTAATTTCTTCATGCATGTTTCTATCAAGCGTCTCCTAGTTGTGGTTCCTGAGTTTCCTGCTTCCTTTCTGGCATTATGTTTCTGTTACCATCTACTACACCATTAATACTGCAAGGATCCATCACTGCCTTCCGTCCTCTAAAACAGTGATTCCCAACTGGGGGTACGTGAATCCTTAGTGGTCCATGAGTGAGTGCATTGCAAGGGGTACATGAAAGTATGTTATTTCTCAGGTAATAAAATACAATAAAATAGGGCTGGATCTGTTCTACGTTGTGAGGACCCAACTAAAAGATAAAACAAGCTTTTTTTTCCTCCAAAAAGTAAGTTTTTCTTCTATGTTCAAGAACACCTTCAGCTGTGATACACACCCAAACCAAGCAGAGGAACAGACTGGATGTGGAGTACTGCCTGGTATCAGCTGTTTTCCATCATCTGATCAATGCAGATCAGGCGTCATGAATGATGAAAACAATATAAAATAAATGGAGTTAGTCTGACCATAATTTTTTTCCCCTCATGTTTAAATTTGATTATAGGGCAGTTACTTGATTCTGTTTAGTAAAGAGATAGAACACAGTCTACATTTTTTGGACTGAATTCAAACAGTTAAGTTCATTATCTGATTCAGGGATTTATTTCCCTACTTTTGGTGGATTACCTTACATGCAAAGAAGCTTCCTGTTCACTTAGTGCCAAGTTAAGTCAAAATAATGGACAGTTAAGTGGAGGGGAAAAGGGAACACAAGAAGCTGGGATAATTCAAGGCTGTAGATTACTTGGTACAAGGAACTGGATTATCTCTCAGTGGCCAAAAGTTCTTTATTTATATGAAAGTAAGGTTTGTTGTGCCAATATCCTGTTTAATAAATACATCAACATACTTTATAGACAGCAAAAATTCAAGTAAATAAGAACCTTCTTTTTTTATTTAAAGAACAAATCCAAACCCAGCTGGCTCTTTCAAAAATAACAGCTATCTTAAAAAAGCAATAAAATTCATAACCCCGGTTTAAAGGTTTCTCACTGCCTGCCAATCAGACTCAGGTTTCTTTTAACCTTTAGATGGAGGGCCTCCTTCTTTATGTCGTCTATAATTCTCTTCTTGACGACTTAAAATTGAAGCTAAGTTTTATAAAAATTCAAAGTTCTTAAAAAGCAGAAAAAGTCTCAAACAAAGATCAAAAAATTTAGGCAGAGGCAGCTGAGTCCGGGTCCAGTGTGTTTATTGCTAAACACAACACATTCACACTGAGCTGGTCACCGGTGAGCCGAAGCTGAACAAATGGTGAACACAGCTCCCTTTTATACATTTCTTATCGGTGGAAAACCCCCTTCAGAACATATTTCAGTCTTTGGTAAAGGTCACATTGATATTTATCTGCAAAACACGGTGACATTCATAGACACATCTCATTCTTGTGAGAGCAATCTCTCAGGCCATGAAAACATCTGGTGCATTCAAATCAGAAACTTATGACGGTTTAGTCACAAACATGTCAGAACACATCTTTCCCTTGCTTCAAGCCATGTCAGTCTGGCCTACTGCTCCCCCCTCGTGTCTTAGTCAAAGCATCACCCTTTCTGGGACCATTACCGCTCCGTGTGCCTTGAAAATAACAACTCTTTTTGTATGGCCAAATTTTGCTGAGCTGGGCAACCTTGAGATGTCAAATATTTCATTTTTATTGAGTGTGCTTTCTTATCACTAAGGGGCCTCAACCCTGCGTTGTCCTGCAGATTCCACTCCTTTTGGACCAGGTGCACACTCACTGCTCTGTTTTTCTCCTTTTTGGCCTTGAATGGCTCTCACTGCTCTGTTTTTCTCATTTTGGCCTTGAATTGCTCTTATAACAGTATTTGGGAAAACAACTTTAAACTTATAAAACATTAACTTTATTTTATCTTATGATTAGTGCAGATTAATACACAACATTCCCCCCTTTGATCCTAAAAGGATCAATTACGTGATTATGCAGGTGATAACTAATCTAAAACACCTTAAATGTGAACTCACCCAAGTGACAAAAGTTTATATATATATATTGTGCACACTAAACCAAACGTGAGATTAAACACACACCATATAGTAGAAGTGAGTAATATAAGATGTGGTGGTGTCTGAGTAAATATTAAACTAATAAAATGCAGAAAACAGAATATACAAAAACAAAGAGGGATCCCCCTCTTGGCTCCCTTAAGAGGACCCGTCCTCGTTGCTTACTTTTTTTGTAGCAAGATTTTCTAATTCTGTTTTCTCAGCAGAGGCAAATACCAATGCCCAAGCAGCATCTTGTGTTACGAGGTCACTGCATTTATCCCCTACATTGGTGGTATTTCACACCCATACATACACAAACACAAACAAAAAGCTTCATCAGGCCCGGACTATGCCAGGCAAACACATCTTCTAGTGGTCAAAGGACCGTCATTACAACCAACATAGGAGTAACCATGTGGCACTCTCCTGCACAGTAATTGTACTGTCACATAAAGTATACAATCCTACCAATATGTTTAACAAAGGTATGCATAATCATCAATAATCAGCATTGTCCTTATATCCAGTTATGGCGTTGAAGTTGATATATTAATAATAATAATAGCCTCCATAATTCTGTCCATAATTCTGCCCTCCGTTCGGGCCCCCCTGGGTATAGGGAGCCATATGCTGCAGATCAGCGGTCAGCTGCATCACCTGCTCTTGTAGGTCGATAATGGTCTGCTGTGCATCTCGAAGTTGCACCACCTGCTCTTGTAGGTTGATAATGGTCTGCTGTGCATCCCGAAGTTGCTGCCTCAGTTCCAGATTGTCTCGGGTCAGCTGCCGATTCCCAGCCTTTACTTTGCGTTTGTACAGGGTGCGGCGCATCCGTTCAAAGGACCGACGTGGCTCGGGGTGCGCCAGACCCTTCATGAATTGGGCATAAACTGCTGTGGTCATAGAGGTGATTTCAGGCTTAAGGTCAGCGTTGGTATCATAGGACTCCAGCGGATGAGCCAAGAACTTTGCAACATGATGAGCTTCGGCAAGATCAAGCTTTATGTCATCTGCTATGACCATGAACATAGCCAGTACGCCTGGAATGGGTGGTGGCGGATAATTATATTGGTGGGGTGACGGTGGTCGTCGATCCTCGGAATTCTCAGGACTGGCAGGGGTGCTGGTTGGGCCGAAATCGATACTGAGGTTCCCCGGTGATGACGAGATGGACAGTGGCTTCCCAGTAGGTAATGGTGGTTGATCATCAGGCTGCCTGCTGGGTGTCATCATCGGTTGATCCTCAGGCTGCCTGCTGGGTGTCATCATAGGTTTGCTCCAACCCGAAGGTGCACTGCTTGGCCCCTCTGCAGGATCTAGTAGGTGCCTGGGAGGAAGATATGGGCATCCTACCCCTAGTGATGGGCCTAACGACGCCAGTGCAGCTCGTAAATTCATTTGGTTTTCTTCATATTCATCATAACTAGCCTCTGCCATGTTCAATAATCTACCTGTGGGGACATAGTATGGCAAATTTAGGCATCATCTGAAGGCATATTATCTCTTATATCTATGGATTATTCAGCATGCAAGTTGCTATATCTACGTGAGTAAGTATATAAGTCATTGTTATGCAAAATATTTATATATATACACTGTTGTTATTAAAGAAATGCACGTACCTGGTGAGGGTGGAAGGTGATCATGGTTATGTTTTATATCTCTTGGTCCAATTGTATCTCTACAACTGGGAACTGACCAGTTACACTTACAACAAGTCTTGAGACCAGTCCCCGAACAAGGGGTATGATGCAACACACAACTATCAATATAATCAGTATTACTGCCCCTAAAATCATTCCTGCTGCCTCAAGATATTTTCCCCTTCCAAGTTTGTGAAACCAATCCCAGAATCCCTTCAGCTGAGTGTTCCAATTAGACTGCAGCACATGTTCATCCCTCATTCGTTTCATTTCCTGTAGGACTCCTGTGAGGCTACCATTTACATCTGTGTGCATGGGGATTAAAGTACAACAATCTTCCCCTATATAATCACATATTCCTTGGTCTCCAGCCATGCGGGATTCTAGCACGAACCTATGTTGTAGAACCATTAGTGAAGTTGCATGCAATTGTTCCTTTACCAAATCCAGGCCGTTTATTGTAAAGTTTATAAATCTTTGTTGATTATACCATAGGAGATTCACCCATCTACTATTTCGAGCTATGTACTGCGCATTGGCAATAGTTCCCCAAATTGGCACCGCACCAGCCACTCTTCCGCTTTCTATCCAATCACTCCCTATGGCAACCTGGTCTTTAGGTACTCCATATGGGATCTGATCCCAAGAAATATATACCTCATCTGATTTCTTCCACTCATGTTTAGGGGAAGTACTTCTTTTAGCGCGGTTGGGTATCTCATTAGATGTTACATTTGTACTTATTAGGTTATTTACTATTAACTTGAGTTGTCCTGTCAGCATTACTGGTGCACAGATGCCTTCCCACTGAGGGGGTAATGTGGCCAACATTTGTGTCTCATTATGGCACATCCAAAAAATGTCACCTAAGGGGACAGATCCCCTCGCCAGGCTCAGTATTCGATACTGAGATACACTTGAAGGTTGGAACTCATAGATGACATGTCCCCCATCTGGTACTACTTGTTCACAGCGTATGGTGGCATTGGGACTCGTTTGACAAAACTTAATGTGGTAGGTGAGGTTCCCTTCTGCTGTTGGTGGGTACCATGTCCTATTACTACATGTAACCAGTCTATCCGTTGTCCACATCTGTCTAGAGGATCTATTAGTCACTGTTTCCAGTTCTTTCCCTCGGGCTATACAAAACGGAAAAATCAGTTCAGCCGGTTTTTGTACTACTGGTGGAAGAGAGAAAGTGCTCATTACATCATTTATTGAGAAGTTCAGCGCTCTGGGGCATATCGTGTGGTCTTTTGATAATGATGCAAGACCTCCGGCCATCTGCATGGCACAGTGGGCAAAGCACTCCGTTACATCTGGGCAGTCGCCTATTTTACTTCCGGGAATAATCTGAAGGGCTGGTAATTTTTTAGCATTATAGCAGGCTATACAATCATCTTTAGGGCGCTTTTTGGCTTTGAACATTGCCTGGACAGAGTACTGAATCCATTGTTGGAACATATTGGTCTCCCAGTGTGCAGTCTTTAATTTGTCTAGATCTCTTTTCTGCCTTTTGTTTACCAATTTTACCATTCTATGCGCTTTCCCTACCGTCATTACCTGCTCTGTTAATGTGTTTTGGCATATGTTCATTTTGCATCTTACCTCAATGATCACCATCCCATCCTCACGGCAGTCCATGCTTTGTGGAACTCCAAGCCAATGTTTCCCCATTGAGTTACCTAAAATTTCTTCAGACATTACATAATCATATCCTTTGATTTGCACATGCATTAGTGATAAATTTTCTCCATCATTATTATTGATTACCCCTTGGTTAGTAGCTAGTGTTACCATTGCTAGTGCACATGTTTGTGTGTGACGCATTAAATGTGTGTGTGCACTGTTAGTATTAATTTTCATAAGATCCCCCCTTGTTAACCCACAAAGGGTTAACACAACAAGAAAGTTAATCAAAGTCTGAAGAAGGCGCATACGGGAGACGCCCAGACGGCGATGGGGTGGGCGGGACCGAGTGGATCGGCGGCCCACTCGCTTCGGAGGAGGAAGGGGAAAGGGAGGGGATGAGAGGGGAAGGTGCAGGTGAGGGATGTGAAGGGGACAGGACTCCACCAGCATCTGATGGGCCAGAAGAAAGAAGTTCGTCCAGTGCCTGAACGACGGATGGATCTGGGTGAGACCCAGAAGAAGTCTCAGTGGCAGAAGGATCATCATCATTGCCACCAGAATCAGAAGGTGGATGGGAAGCATAAGAATGAACACTGTCATCCTCAGAGTCCCCTGACCCTGGCGATTGGCGAGCTGCCAAGCGGGCCGAACGTCTTTGGACGCCTGACGTTGAGGGGAGTGGGGATGCATCAGTGCCCGACACCGGTGCAACATCTAAAGTTTGTGAGCTAGTGGAGGGGTGCTGCGGAGGGAGACTTGTTGCTGCCCTGTCAGCATGCGCAGAGCCCGTCGGTCCTGGATCGAGTCCAGGTGGGTCTGGAGGCCGATGCCTGGTGCAGTGGTTTTTGTGAAACCAGAAGGGCTTACCTTCAACTTTCAGGGCAGTGGGAGTGGTAAGCACAACTTTAAAGGGGCCTTCCCTACGAGGCTCGTTCCACTGACGTCTAAAGACTCGTATGAACACACTGTCACCCACTTGAACGTCCCTGACGTCCACTGGAATGTGTGTCTCGTCTCGGCTGTGAGCTGCTTTCACCTGTTGAAATATAAGCCTGTGAATGCGGGTTAAGGACCTGAGGTAGTCCCCCATTTCACGCTCAAGCTGTGCTAGGGAAATCTCTGCCAGCTGGGGTCCTCGAACCTGTGGGAGAGGCATTGGTCGACCTGTAAGCATTTCATGAGGAGTAAGATGGGTTATGCGGTTAGTTTGAGAACGCATTGCCATTAATGCAACAGGCAAGGCGTCCACCCAAGTCAAACGGTTGTTGCTGTCAGCTATTATCTTAGCAATCTTCGATTTCAGGATCCCGTTAGCTCGTTCCACGGATCCCTGTGACTGGGGATGATACACACAACCAAACTTTTGTTTTATGCACAACAGTTTAAACATTTGCTGGATCACCTGTGAAACAAAATGTGGTCCGTTATCAGATGATATTGTGTCAGGCATGCCAAATCTGGGAAAAACTTCTTTACACAAAAACCGTGCTGCTGCTTTGTGGTCATTATGAGCAGTGGGACATGCTTCTACCCATCTGCTAAACCTACAAACAACCACCAACATATACCTCTTTCCCTGAACCCGAGTTATCATGTCTACGTAATCCATCATCAGATGGCGGAACGGACCGTCTGGCATAGGGATATGTGCTAAGGGTTGAGTAAACATTTTACGCACATTGTACTTAGGGCAATGTGGACATAAGGCCAGTTCTCTGTCTACCATAGGTGTCATATAAGGTGACCACCAAACTGCCTGTAACTTTTGAACAACTTGGGCTCGTGAACAATGATCAGGTCCATGCATTATTTTAATGGCTGTCGGTAATAAGGACAAAGGTAGTACAAAATGTCCTCGAGAACTACGCCACAATCCATCGTGGGGGTGTGTTAACCGAGCCGCCCCCCTTTGTACCCACAGGCGTTTTTCTGCTTCAGATACGTTATTTTGGGCTTCTATTAAGGAGGCCAAATTAGTAATGGGTTCACACTCAGCTACATGAACCATTGGTCCCTGTACTGCTGAACCTGTGGCTTCTTTAGCTGCCTCATCTGCTAAGTTATTTCCAATGGCAATAGGTGTTTTTGCTGTTTGATGAGCAGCACATTTTACAATAGCTAACGCAGATGGAAGTTGCATAGCTTTTATTAGCTCCACTACAGCTTGCCCATGTGTCACTGGGGTGCCATCTGTTCTAACAAACCCTCGTTGTTTCCAGATGCTAGCGTTTATATGGCATACCCCATATCCATATGCACTGTCAGTATAGATTGTCACTCTTTTACCAGTAGCCAATTTACATGCAGCTGTTAATGCTTTTATCTCTGCCAATTGGGCAGAGCAAGGTTGATCTAGACTCATTGATTGTACCTTGGTAAAGGTCCCATCGGGGTTAAGTTGGACTATTCCATATCCAGCTCTATTCCCTGTGTCACCTCTGACGCATGATCCGTCTACGAACAGCGTCAGATCAGATGGGATTGGATGATTGTATAAGTCCTCCCTTACCTTCATGAAGGTGTCCGTCTCCTGGAGACAATCATGGGGCTCACCTTCTGTGGGCAATACCATTCTTGTGGCTGGGTTAATGGTGGTACAACGTTGTATTGTTAAATCAGGTCCTGAAAGCAGAACTTCATAACCTGTTCGACGAGCTTGGGTTATCACAAAGCGTGGGCTGGTGAGCAGTGCATGTAATTGATGTGATGTGTACAGAATAACAGGGTGGCCCATAGTAATAACTGAGGCCTTTTTGTAGGCGAAGGCTGCTGCTGCCAAACCCTGGTAGCAGGGAGGCAGACCTTCTTCGACACCATCTAATTTTGTGCTGTAATAAGAAATTGGCTGTTTACCTGTTGGGGTGTCTTGCATCAATACTGCACATGCATACCCTTGTCGCTCAGCCACATAGAGATGGAATGGTTTGCCATAATCTGGATTGGCCAGAGCAGGAGCAGTTTGGAGATCTTGTTTCAGCAGCTGGAACGCACCCTCTGCCTCATCTGTCCATTGTAATTGAGCCGACTGGTGTCCTTGACCTGCGGCTTTAATCATTGCTCTCAGTGGAGCCGTTTTGATGGCATAATCACACACCCACGGTCTGCTGTAACCTGCCATGCCAAGGAAAGACAACATGTGACCAACAGTCTGAGGTTTGGGCATTTGGGTTATGGCTTCCAGTTGGGACGGTGCAATACACCTCTTGTCCCCACTAAGTTGCCTGCCGAGATACTCCACTGTTTGCTGGCAGAATTGCAATTTTTGTTTACTTACTTTGTGTCCTCCTTCTGCCAAAGCAGTCAACACTGTAATGGAGTCTCTCTCACACTGCTCTTTAGAAACAGAACAAATCAGAATATCATCAACATACATCAACATTGTAGATGGTATGTCAAGGTGATTTAAGTCATTTGCCAGTACACGATTGAAAATTGATGGTGAGTGTACGAAACCCTGTGGTAATCGCGAATATGTATATTGTTGGCCTTTGTACGTAAATGCAAATAAATACTGGGAATCTGGATGGA